CATAGAACAATGTGAGGTGCACTCTCACCCTGAACTCTTAGGGAAGGGTCTAGGCCCTGCCCTATATGAAATGACAGACTATGGACACCCCAATGGAGGGCCTCACCCTCCCTGGGGGAATGAGGGGATAACGGGGGGGGGGTTGGGGGAGGGCACGGGAGGAGGGGAGGGAATGGGAGAGGGACCTGGAACTGACTTGTGAAGCAACCTCGTTTCTTATCTAAATTTAAACTGGAAAAAAAAGAAAGTTATTTGAATGCATGTTAAACATTAATGTAATTTTTGAAAGGTTATATCTGATTTTTTTTTACCAAAATAAATCTGGAAAAAAAAAGGAAACCTGGAAAGATTTTTTACATTACAAGGCAGCATTCCAAGTTTCCAACAGTTTGCCTCTCAAGTTAAAGATATATGTCAATGTAATTAAAAGCAGATTCCAATAACCAGGCTTTAAGAAAATTAAAAATGACTGTGGCAGATTACTTTAATTGGCTTAACTTAAACCATTATTTGTTACATTTACTGAATGTTTATTATTTAAAATAGGGTTATATCCAGTTTCTGAATAATCATATAGTAAGATATTTCAAAATGATTTTACAAAAATCTAATTGCCTTCACGTATAATCTTGGTATGTGTGATTTGTGTCAATCAATTGTCACAGACCACAAGATTGGCAAGTCAATAGCATGCAAGGATAAGTGATGTTAGAGTACAAACAAATAAATCATTGTTTGGTTTAAGTAGAATGAATAACAGGAACCAACCAATATTTATGCAATATTTTCCATAATTTTATTAGATCAAGAAGTATTCAAACTTGAAATCTAGAAAACCTTTTATGTTCTTTTCTATACTTTAGCTTACACATAAACCAGATCTCCTAAATTTCATCAATGTGGTCTACTTATCATCTCTAGAAATTCTGTTGTCATTGTTTCCCTCATGGCTCTTTTTATATAAATATTACAACAATAAAAAAAAGAAAGTGTCCTTTGCCTTACATAATCTTTTCAGTTTCATGAGGTTCCATTTTTTAAAAATTGATTATTTTGTTCTTACAGCATATAACCATTAAAGAAACATTTTAATTGCAAAACACAACAAACCTAAAGAAAACTATGCAAAGACTACAGAGACAGGTTAATAAAGGGTTATACAGAGAACATCAAAGAAACCAGAATAGGGCACCCAGAAGTCCCTACCACCTCATGTATGCTTTCAAACACCCTTCCTCGCCACCACATTAGCTTTGTGGTACCCACTTGATCTTTCCTCATAGGCATAACACTAGATACCAGTACTTAAACATGAGGTAATGCCTCTTTTAACTTTATGTAAGTGGAATAACATATTATACATTTTTTAGTTTTTATTTTTTCCATTCATTGTTACATTTTTGTTTCATGAAAATTCTTGAGTGCAGCTGTGGTTGACTGATTTTCACTGTGGTGATGATGACCATACCATGACTCATTCATATTTTCTGCTGGTGATGAATGTTTTGCTGTTATTTTGGCTTGGGTTTTTTCTTTGTTTGGTTGGCTTTCTGAATTTGAGCTGTTATTAACCGTCCTGCTTAGAGTATTTTTCTGTGCTTCTCCTCTGTTTACAGCCCCTACCGTACAGACTGACACTATTTTTCAGATGGTTAAGTTGTGATCATTTTTCCATTCTAACACCTAAGAACAATGACTCTACCCCCATTGGGAATAAAGAAAAATGTAAATTTCACAGATAAAGAAAAATGTACAATTAATACAACATCAGATTGTGAATGATGAAATAGTCATAAGAATAACAATAATAAACTTTGTAAATAACCAAACTTTTAAAAGAGATAATTCAATGGATTCATTTAAGAGAGTCTTCATAGCAGAAAAATGAAGGGAAGACTTGCAGGGATGATACTATTTGCACACACGATGATGAGTAAAATGATAATTTGTAAGGATGTGGAAGAAGACATTCAGAGCAGAGGGAATAACACAAGATTTCAAAGAAAAGAAAGAAAGGAAGAAAGGAAGAAAGGAAGGAAGGAAGGAAGGAAGGAAGGAAGGAAAAAAAGAGTAGGTACAGGAACCTGTGGTAAAGTCACTTAGGAAAGTGCATAAAAGACTCTAAAAGAGGGCATTTTCAGTAACCTATTCAGTGAATTTTATTTAACACCTAAAAAATAGGCTCAAGACAATTTTAATACAACAGGCTATAAAAGGAGTCATATCAGATTTCAGGAAGCTTATAAACACTAGAGGGGAATACAAGCAACCAGTTATAACATTAAAAGATGCAAAATCAACCCCAGGACAAATCTTTGTAAAATACATATAAAAGCAGCAAGACTGAGTATGGTTAAGGAAGAAATAAGATTACCCAAACAAAAGTTTAGTGATAGTAGGAAAGTAGAAATGGGCTAGCCACAGAAGAAGAATGAGCATTCCAAGTAAAAGAAACAGCTCTGCAGAGGACGTAAGTTGAGTAGGTGCAGAATGATACCAAGAAAAAAGTATGTTGAGTCAAAACTTGGAAGATTTTTTAAAAGATTTATTTATTATGTATACAGTGTTTGGCCTGCACACCAGAAGAGGGCACCAGATTTCATTATAGATGGCTGTGAGCCCCATGTGGTTGCTGGGAATTGAACTCAGGACCTCTGGAAAAGCAGCCAGTGCTCTTAATCTCTGAGCCATCTCTCCAGCCCCAAAATTTGAAAGATTTTAAAATACCAAACAAAGACATTCCTTCTTAGACATTTCAAGTTCCATGTAGTTGCAGACTATGTTCTATTTAATTCTTTATCAGATATAGAATAGTACCTCAAATGTAGGAGATGTTCAAATCACCTTCTGAATTTACCCAATGACTGATTTTACTTTTGTAGATAATAGAATGCAAGGCAGGGGTGGAGTGGGGCAAGAAAAATCAAGAATGGAGTCAAGTAAATTATAATAGGACCTGGGTAGTAGTAATATGAAACATATGCAGTGAGTGTGACCAGAGATGTCTACTGTTCTGGAGGACTGAACTGTACCTATACCTTCCAAAAAGCCTTGCAAAATGAAGGAGTGACTGAATTACATGACAAAGGTGGAGTAGGGGACAAAGGGTTATCTAAATGTACTCAACACGGATGAATGTGCATCCTATAATCAGACCCGAGGAGGAGTGTGGCAGCTGCTTTTGTTGACAAGCATACACATGATTTTTAGTTACAAGGAAATCTGGAAACCCTCGACATAGAGAAATCTAGGGAAAAGAAAATGGTATGTGTAATGTATAGGCATATTAAAGCACCCAGAGGAGGACAGGAGGGAGACATTGTGAAGGTTATTGCTCAGACAGGGTAGAAGGGTTGAGGATTCACTTGAAAAGCTTTGCTGGGCAAACTAAAGAATTCCACACCTAATGGGGAACTGAGGGAATATCCAGCAAGGAAGTAACTTTAACAGGGAAAATAATCCAGAGAAATTGAGAGAATGAAAGTGTTCTAAAGAATATAGGTAGAGGAGTTTCCAACATAGGAACCATTGGAATTGCATCTGTGTGAGGATGTAGTTAATGAAGGGATCAAGCAAAAAATTTATGGAGAAATTGATTTCTGTAAATAATATCTAAAGAAAAATCAGAGACAAGAGAGTCAGGGATATGAGCATCTGAATTTCAATCTTGGCTATTCTGACCAGCTAATGAGATCCTCAAGAGCTGAATTTTTTTTCCTGTTATGATTGGATTGATGAGATACAGATTTGCCACCTGTTTAGAACATTTACGCACAGTAAATTTCTAGAAACTCTGCTGTTTCTTGACTCCACCAGCTAAAATAAAACATTAATAAAACCTCAGGTAAACTGTTGAGCCTTAGATTTAAGAAATCTCGAGGGCTCGGTGAGTAAAATGCTTGGTGTACAAGCCTAAGGACCTACGTTCTAATACCTAGAATGCACTGAAAAAGTATGATGTGTGGCAATCATATCTGCTTTACCCTCCAGGATAATATTGATTGGGGTATCTCTTAAGTCACATGGGAGACAGTTGATATTTTTCGGGTTCCTGTCATGGAGTCCATTTGATTCTTTCGTCCACTCTGAGTGGTGTCCGGTATCGTGTCAGTGGAATGTCATCCCTGCCTACCCCACCCACAGGGAAGACCTCTTCGCTGCTGTCAAGTGGCTCATCATGCATCCAACAGCTCCCTTCCCCCTGTGTCACAGCAGTTTGCCTTGGCAGTTTGAAATGAATGAGTATGCGCCCTCTACACTGAGGAGACCAAAGCACTTTGGTATATGTATTTTTTTTCTATTATAACTGAAAAAGAAACCTTTAGAGTAAAAAAGAAAGAAAAAAGCCTAATGCTCCTACTGTGGGTGCATTTACTTCTAACTGAATCATCAAGACAATAATAACCAGTATTCAGGTATGTTCCTTGATTCTTACATTTTATGCCAGGTCTGTGCTGGCTCCTGGGATTAACAGTCACTAAGAAAAACAAGAAATCGTCGTGAGGCCGTTCTCGATTTCGGAGGCTCAGTGGGTGCGGTTTCTGAAAGAGAACCTGGGTTTTTCTAAATCTTGAGAACGAGAACCTCTGCTCTAGGAACTGAGTGCTACTCAGTTTCGCCACGACCCCAAGACCGCAGACCCTCCTAGGCGTGCTAGCACCTCCGCCAGTGGCACTTCCGGTGCTCACTCAGGCCCCGCCCCGCACGCCCCGCCCCGCACGCCCCGCCCCGCACGCCCCGCCCCGCACGCCCCGCCCCGCACGCCCCGCCCCGCACGCCCCGCCCCGCACGCCCCGCCCCGCACGCCCCGCCCCGCACGCCCCGCCCCGCACGCCCCGCCCCGCACGCCCCGCCCCGCACGCCCCGCCCCGCACGCCCCGCCCCGCACGCCCCGCCCCGCACGCCCCGCCCCGCACGCCCCGCCCCGCACGCCCCGCCCCGCACGCCCCGCCCCGCACGCCCCGCCCCGCACGCCCCGCCCCGCACGCCCCGCCCCGCACGCCCCGCCCTTGCGGCGATAGAAAGATGGCGGAGTTGGACATCGGGCAGCACTGCCAGGTGCAGCACTGCCGGCAGCGAGGTGACGCTGGAAGCCCCATCCCCGGCCGCGGGAGAGCTGGGCCGGGTTCTGACGGCCGGGGCGGTGGCGGCGGGTGAGGGAGGACGCGGGGCGCGAGTGGCCCTCCGGGGTGGTGGTGGTGGTGGTGCTTTTTGTTGCTGCCCCTCAATTTGGGGGCGAAACTTGGGGCCCCCTCGGTTTCCGCCCAGATCCTAAAAGCAGACCTTGCAGACTTCTCGAGGCTTCCAAATTAAGAAGCCTTGCCTCCCTCCCTCTCCCTCTCTCTCTCTCCCTCCCTCTCCCTCACCCTCTCCCTCCTTCCTTCCTTCCTTTCTTCCTTCCTTCCTTCTTCCTTCTCAGACGAATGAATTGAACAGCATGAATAAACAGCATTGATTTCGGTGCGGGATTCCCTTAAGTGGTTAGTGGCAGATTAGTAAACTGCATTTCTAGAAAGGTTTAATAAATAATGTGGTGATGGTCTCTCCACTGAACAGAGACCCCGACATAAAGAAAGATCCTGGTGGTAGGTGTTACATTCCTGTGGCCGGCAAGTTCTTCAAGCCTTAGACTCACAGACTGCTCAGTCTTTACCTACTGGATTGCACTCCAAATGTGTATACAACCCGCTGCAGCTTCAGTCAATTCGTAGCAAGTCCTGAATCCAACTCTTACATTTGGCCTGGATTCAGTGTAACACCTGGGCTAGGCAGAGACAGCAGGACAGGTGATGTCATTTATTGTCCTTTGCCATTGACTGTAGTTATGAACCATTCGGCAGATCAAAACTTGTTTTCATGTAGTCCTTTCCTATGGAAACTTAGCTGTCTGGGTTTGACTCTGATATTATGTACATCTGGTCAGGCTGACTTACATCTAAAAATGTCTACCACCTGTGATATAGCTCATCCTTTTTCATTTCACATATCTTTAGCGTTTATTAATTGAGACCAGTCTCTTGGATTAGTAGAAAAGGGTTAAAATTAAGTGGGGGAGAAAACATGCTAGGAAATTATCTTGATCATATCTCTTCTTGGGCTTCCTTGAATGGCATATAATATTTACATGATCACTCTTTAAGTCTCAAAATAGCAAACATGCCCTTTTTTTTTTTTTGCATTGAAAAGTGACACAATGGGCCAGTAAGATGGCTCAGTGAGTAGAAATTTCTCTGGTAGACAGGAGCAGTGACAATGAAACAGGAGGCTCATATACACAGAGGGCACTGGCAGGACTAACAAGAGAGATCCTGCCTCAAAACCATGGTAGAGAGATAGAACTGACTCCCAGAAAGTTCTCCTCTGACCTCCACAAGTGTGGCAAAGCACAAGATGACACACACTCATGAAATAGATCTAAAAAAAGAAAAAATTTGTAGATTATTGTTTCTTATATTGGCACATGTGTCTCTAACTTCTTGGTATCAAATTGAAGTTTGAAGTCGTGCTTTATTTAATAACAATGGTGGTAGTTCATCAGGCACTCCTCAGCAGAGGGAAGCATTATTCAGTCCTAGTCTGCAAGCATGCTCAGCTCTCAGCTCCTTTTGCTTACATACAACCTCTTTGCATTTTCTAGACTATCACAGTTTTGTCTAAAGGGGACTGAGCTGTACCTTCTGATTTTCATTGTGAAAGGAGTATGTCTGGAATATCTAGCTTCATGTTGCTCCTTGTTAAAATGTAATATACTGAAGTCAATTTAGAAAGCGATTAAGTCAGGTATGGTAGCTCACACCTGTAATTTTATCACTCTAGAGTCTGAAAAGTGGGGACTAAGGGATTAGGAGTTTTGAGGCCAACCTGGGCCATGTGAGACCTTGTGTCAAACAAATGTATAAAGGTTATTAATTATTTTATTTAATAATTAGTTTCCATATCTAAGAATTGATACTTGTATTAACTTTTCAAAATACATGTGTGTAGACAACATAAGGTATGATAGATATAGATGCAGATCAGGTTGATACACATACATACATACATACATACATATATACATAGAGAGAGAGAGAAAAGGGAGAGAAATGCATAGTATATACTACATCCATGGCTTTATTATTAGGTAATCTACTTAGTATTGCTAGATTGATATGGAGTCAGAATTAAAACCCAGAATTTTTTGAATTTTTTTTAAATTTAAATTAGAAACAAGCTTGCTTCACATGTCAATCCCAGCTCCTTCTCCCTCCCCTCCTCCCCTGCCTCCCCCACCCAATCCCCACCCCATTCCCCAGTTCCCCAGGGAGGGTGAGGCCCTCATGAGGAATCTCCAGAGTCTCTCATCTCGTTTAGGGCAGGGCTTAGGCCCTCTCCCAAGAGTCCAGGTTGAGAGAGCATCTCTCATTTTGGAATGGGCACCCAAAGTCCATTTGTATGCCAGGGATAAATACTGATCTACTGCCCAAGGCCCCCATAGATTGCCTAGGCCTCCTCACTGACATCCACATTCAGGGGGTCTACATCAGTCCCATGCTGGATTCCCAGCCATCAGTCTGGGGTCCAAGTCAGGTCAGCTGTTTCTGTGAAAACCCAGAATTTTTATGCCAAATGCAGACACTGCAGTGTACAGCCTTCAAAAACAGCACCTAGTAAATCTCAGAAACAAAACAAAGAAAAATACCACCAAAAAAGTGACTTTTATGATTTAACAAGTTATTATAAGTCATGTCTACCTCCTGTTGATTCGGCCACTTTTTCCTTGAGTTGAAAATTTGCCAGTTTTGGCTTAATAGAGATTACATAGTGACTTGCTGCACAGGGACAGTCAAAGAAAATTTTGCATATAGGATTGGCCAGTAGCTTCCTTTTGCATAAGAAAACTAAATCAAAGTCAGACACTGACTAGTACCTATCACATTTTCCTCCAATTTTAGATTTTCTTCCATTTGTATGTGATGGATGTTCAGGGATATTTTGGTAAGTTAAGTTTTTTTATGTGGGATTTGAAAATAATTTTGGTATTTATCAGTGTGGGATTAATTTCAGAAAATTAAAATAATTTAAAAATAGTTCTAACTTTAGCCACTGACAGTTGATGTTTAGCATTGTAATCACCTGTGAAAAACTTAAGCTGACTAGTCATAGGCTCTAATTAGTTATACATGTTATGCCACTAATCTTTGAAGTTCCAAGAAATGCAGTCATAAATGTGGATTTTAAGATTAGCTCTCATAATTTACAATGAGAAAATAATGTCCATATATAAAGAATATAGCTTTTAGAAATCCAGCCATGATTATTCTCTATTTTAATTAACAGATGAAAAGAGTCCAACCTATAATGTTCTTAAAATGGATAGTGCATTGCATACATCACTTGCAAATATGACCTTTGGACAATTCAAGGATTTGAGAAGACATGCCTTGATATTACATTCCCTCATTTAACTGAAATTTGCATGCACTTTAAAGATAACTGGAGTGGTGCATTGTTTTTACTCAATTGTAGGTGAACTTAGACTCTCCTTTCTGTGGATTTCAGTTGGTTTTACATGAAAGTCACTAGTGTAGTGAGCATAATGTACCTTGAGAATGTGAGATGTTTAAATAGTCTGAATTACTTAAGTTATCATTAAGTGAATTAATTGATTGCATTTAAATAAACACTTTTTTTTAATCATTTAAGCCTTGAACACAGAAGCAGGGACTCTCATGGTTGTCCTGAGGTATGTTTAATTTTCTCTTATCTGACATAATTTATATATTTGTACTCATATACTTTTAGAATTTGATTAGATTTAAAGCTAGTCAGTATACCAGATATTTAGCATCCTAAACTAATTACATATAAAGAATCTTTTGCTACATTTCTAATATTTTTCTCTTTGAAGAAAATTTGCTTTGATTGGTATTTACACATTTTATCCTCATAGTCTTGATTCCTACTATTTCTGTTTAGGAAGCCCGCTCATAGCACTAGGCTATGTATGATACACACTGGCTTCAGTGCCCACATCATACTGTCCTTCCAGGTCACCGTCATTGTGGTGTTCGTTTTCACTGGTGGCTGCTGATAGGATTCTGTGGCAGTCAAGTTTTTGGACCCAATCAGCCTTAGACTACCAAGAACAAACCCTTAGTCCAACAAAAGAAAATCCTTATCCTGATTGAAAACATGAATGGATTGAGAAGGGACGCCAAAGACAGAAACCAAATTACTACCTTATCACTACTAATAAAGGATGGAACTTAGTACAGAGTCAGTTACTCAGTGCTCAGTAATGTGGCTTTGTCTGTTTCCTTTTTTCCCTTCCAAAGAAGATCTTGCATTTTATATTCTGATGTAATGTTTTCTGATAATAAAATATTCCACATTGCATGGGAAGTAGTTTATGATTTTGAAAACTGCCTCATGTTACAGATACGATTTTTAAGGGTTCCTTGTCCTAAACTGTTGTTCATTTCCTAAATCTGGCATAGAAAGTAGTTATGACTCCTTATTTGAAGGTTGGTGAGTTGACTACCTGGGCCGATTTTGATAGGGCATCTTTGTCTGGCAGTGTTTCAAAGCAGAGAGTAAAACTGTAGGCAATAAACTAGGCGCAGTGGTACACCCCTGTGATCCCAGCACTCAGGAGGCTGAAATAGAAATACTGCAAATTTAGAACCAGCTTGGCTATTATGTAGTAAGACCCAGTCTCAATAAAAAGGCAGGGAAACTGAAAAGTCATTTTAATTTAACTTAAAACATAATTATGACACATCAGAAAAGTTATGACAGTGGAACAATAAGCATAGCAATAATTTCTCATACAAATATTCCTTGTAATTTGTATGTGAGAACATATAGCTTAATCTAATAAATTTAAACCAAAATGATATGGGTGATGCCTTCTAACACTGGCTTTTGTGTTGTTTTAAATGAGAATTATAGTGCCATTCCCCCCTCCCCCTTACTGTTTTAGGTGAATATAATCAAAGAGAGACCAAAAACAGATGAACACAAATCTTACTCATGTTCATTCAAGGACTGTCCTGAAGTAGAGCTTGTAGCAGTGATATGTCCTTATTGTGAGAAGAACTTTTGCCTAAGGTATCACTAAACCCTTCAAGTTTTCCGTAACTGTTTAGTTGTACATGAGCGAGTGACAACTAACTCCTCTGTTACTTGTAGACACCGTCATCAGTCAGATCATGGGTGTGAAAAACTGGAGCTCCCAAAGCCAAGAATGGCTGCCACACAGAAACTCGTCAAAGACATTATCGGTGAGTCCTAGTAAGCCTGTGTGGCTGCTTTGCTTCCTGGTGTACATTTCTTACTCCACTGCTCCTGGTCTTACGTGTGATCATCAGTTATGGAGGTTTCGTTAGCAGCCCCAGTGTAAGAACTTGCATTCTTTTCTAAAATTTTATTTATTTTACTTATAAGTATTTGTATGGGTGTTTTTCCTGCATGTATGTCTATGTACTGCTTGCATGCTTGGTACCCTTGGAGTTCAGAGAGGGTTTCAGATCCCCTGGAACTGTAGTTATACACAGCTAAGAGCCATGTGGGGGCTGAGAAATGAATCTAGGTCCTCTGGAAAAGTAGCCAGTACTCTTAAGAGCTGAACCATCTCTGCAGCCCCAAGAACATGCATTTTAATAACATTAACGTATTTTGTACAAAGCCTTCCTGACTAGTGAAAAATCAGAAAATCATTTGTTGGGCAGTTTAGGTCCGGTGTCAACGATTATAGCTAGTTACGTCGATGAGGTTAGCATGATGGACAGCTTTGTCTACAGAATGCATTCTACTAAGGCTCTTTGGCTGTGCTGTGAATGCCGATGAGGCACCAGGAAAAGCACTAGGAAAGAACATGGCTGTGACTTAGCTTAGTTTCTCTTGCAATGTATTAGTTCAGTAGAACTTTTATCCCATATTAAGGGTGGAGCCTTTGTTGAAACTGGAAGTGTTCTATAAAAGCATCAGTGGCCACTTTAGATTAAATCAGTTAGGCCAGAAAGAAGCAAAGTACCTGTGAACTTTTTTAAGGTAGAAGCTACTTAGATTGACCAGTAGTCATGTAAATATACTTACCAGAGCTGTGCTGTGCAATTTATGTATGTCGAAGACCATAATGTAAAGTTGAGCTTGGTGTGTACTGCATTAGTCCCATCAGAGGCAGGTGGATCTCAGTGAGTTTCAAGCCAGCCAAGACTACATGGGGAGACCTTGTCTCAAAACAAGAGAAAAAAACTAAAAGGAAAAGAAAGAGAAGAAAACAGGAAAGAAAATCTGGAAATTGCGATGGGAAAGTGCGTACATGCTTACACTTCTTTCTCCCTTAGACTCCAAGACCGGAGCGGCAGGAAGTAAAGGAAGGAAGGGCGCGAAAAGCAGCGGGACAGCCGCAAAGGTGGCTCTGATGCAGCTAAAGATGCATGCTGACGGGGATAAGTCACTGCCGCAGGTGAAAAGAGCAAGCGTGTCAAGTGGTCTCAAATCTCCTTTCTCTTCCTCCCTTCCATCCAGTACAGCTTTTAAACCTGACATATCAGTTCTAAGGACCGCGTGCTGTGGAGTCTGTGCAAATACTTCCCATTGCTGCATTTTCCCTCTTTGTAGAGATGGCAACCAAACACACAGAGCCTTCTTCCCCTCTTTGCATCCTGTTTTTAGTATTTACCTGTACTTAAGCTGTGGTGTAGTTCATTCGGTAGCTACACATTCTTTTGTATGACTGTGGCCTACGTTACTTTTGTAAATAAATCTCAGATTTATTCAGGGCATTGTTATTAACACCTGTTCTCCATAAATCCAAGTATTTAGGAGGGGAGCTTCTCTAGAGAGTATCTTTAAAATCCCAACACCTAGGAGACTGAATTTATGAGTTCAAGGTTAACTTGAGCTGCAGAGTGAGTGACAGGAAAAAATTCAGACATACATAGTTATATACCCTCATACAGATTCATTAATTAACATTTAGCCATGTGTCCCTGCATCTCTGTTGCTGTGACAAAACACTGACCAAAAACAACTTGGGGAGGAAAGGATTTTTTTCAGCCTCCGTGTCACAGTCCATCACTGAGGGATGTCAGGGCATGAACTCAGGCAGGAAGTGCTGCCCCTGTCTTGCTCAGCCTGCTTTCTTATACAGCTCAGGACATCATGCTCAGGGATGACACTGCGCACAGGGGGCTGGACCCTCTTCAGTCAGTTAGCAATCTAGAAAAGACCACACAGACATGCCAACAGGTCGATCTGATGGAGGCGATTCCTCAGTTAAGGCCTCTTCCCAGCTGTCTCTAGTTTGTGTAAATTCAGTAAAACTGACCAGCAGATGTTACATATACGTAATATTTATAAGTGTTGAGTGGTGAGGGCTATAAATGAAAGTAAAGCATGTTTCAGATAGATTATGTAGCCATCTCTGATGTATGCCCATTGCCTAGTAGAAAAAAACCTGTGTGCTATTACTGCTGATACTTTCTCTAAAATGTACATCATGTTCCATGAAATGTGTGATGTAACTTTTTGCCATTTTTCCTACTGATACTGATTCTGTCTCGTTTTTAAATTTTTTGGTTTGGTTTTTCGAGACAGTGTTTCTCTGTGTAGCTTTGGAGTCTGTCCTGGAACTCCATTTGTAGACCAGGCTGGCCTAGAACTCTCAGAGATCCACCTATCTCTGCCTCCTGGGTGCTGGCATTAAGGGTGGGCACCACCACTGCCCGGCTGATTCCGTCTCCTCTTTGATTATTTTCTTTTTTTGAGATAGGTTCATATGTAGTCCAGGGTGTCCCAGGAATCTATGATTCCTTTTTGTGCCCCTTTACACTGCCGTCTAGATGACCTTCAAATCCACCATCTCATTAATTAAGCCTTTAATTGTGGATGGCAGAAATTTACTTGGTTTGACTTTCTTATTTTAGAAGTCATAGTTTTAGTTCTTGTATTTCTTCTTGGATATCTACATCTTGTCTTCATTTTATAACATGTTCATTTTTATGGGAAATACTATATAATGTCTCTCACCACATCCGAAGTAACTTACTTTAATATTCTTTTAGATTTCTGTTATGTTCATTACTTTAAAATTTAAGATTATTGATCCCACAAGTTCATCTTGACTTTGAGGGATCTCCTGTATTTTTCTCTCCCCTTACTTCCCAGTCCCTCCTAAAGTTTACTGGTTTCCCTCAGCCCACCCATCCACAGCATCAGTTTCAAGCCTAAGCTTGAGCCTAAGCTTGCTTCTGCTCTGGAGAGATTCTGAGGTAGTTGCAGTTGCAGCTGGTGAGCTGGGAGAGCTCAGCTCTGTGGTCAGGGAGGCACAGCTATGCTCTGTACCTTCCTCTGTCCTGATGCAGCCGTCATTCTCTTAGCCTGCTCTGTAGATTCTACTCTCCCTAAAATCGTTAGTTAAGAAAAAATAAATTGTAAGGTGGCTCATAAGATATGGAGTCCCACACCAGGCTCTCCGTAGCACCCGACAGCCATGTCTTTATCAATATTTACTTCCCACTTAGCCACCGTTAAGCTCTGCACTACATGTTCTGAAACCCTGTGAGCCTGTGTGATTTGTTTTTGTTTATTCTTTCCTATGTATTTTGTTATTGTTGCTGTTATTTATTTAGAGACTGGGTCTCCCAAGCTGTTCTTAAATTTACAAACTCATGAGCCTTTTGCTTCAATTTCCCATTAGCTCATTTTTTATCCTAAGACATATTTTTAGAAGCTATAAATTTTCATTTTCTCTTTCCTATTTGCACTCCTGCTGTTTTCCCTTGGGAGCAGGGCTGGTGGTGATAAAAGTGGACCAGCACTTAGGCTTTTTCTCTTTTCTTTGAATGTGTTTTGTTTTGTTTTATCTATAACACATCCTACTGACCTTCAACAAATCTGAATTCCTTTCTGCTGAGACAGGAATTGTTTTCACTGTATTATTTCTTAAGATTATTCCGATAGTTCCCCAACATTTTCCATTAGAGATGCTTCATTTAGAGCAACATTTTTATTGTTCAGAAGTTGACCTGTGTAGACAATCTCTCTAAAGCAGTTTTTAGGAATTGAGGAAAACCCTATCCCCCCTATATGTTTTTTAAATAAAGTTAATTAAATAACAAATTACAACTGAAGAACACAGTAGGACACAGATTATGTTAGAGATCCTATCTCTGAAACCCTATTTTATTAATAAAGTATTTTCCTGGGGCTTTATCCTACTTTATATTTTCACTTTCTTTGTTCTCAAAACTCTTGCTGCTCCAATAAATAGTAAAGTCTTTCATATATAAACAAGTGTTTTGTATCAGAAACCTTGTCTTGAAAATGACAGGACTTTGACTCGAAGGAGTACAGTTGAAACCAGTTTGTTTCAGAAGAGAGCACAACAGGCCCATGTCTAGGGGTTCTGATGTTCTTGAATGATCTATCAATTTCTTGATTTCTTTGTTCGTGTTGAACTCATTCTTAACTCAGGAGTGGCTGAGGGGTATGAGGGAAGCCTATAGTCCAGGTCAGAATCACTGGAACTCAACCCATTCCCTGAACATAAAAGGGTCACACAACTGTCATTACGCAGATCACCTACTAGGGTTTGGGGTCCTTGGCACATGCAGTAGGTTAGATGGGCTGCATGATTGGTTTTCTCACTAAAACTTACATCATCATAGTGTTTTTCTACTTTGACCAAAAGAAGGAAGGAAAGGGAACCACTAGCTGAAAACGGAAAGTCTTATTCCATGTGTCTAACCTGTCTGTTAACTTTTGCTTACACAGACAGAAAGAGTTTACTTTAGGGTTTACTTACCAAAGGGGAGCAAAGAGAAGAGCAAAGCCATGTTCTTCTGCCTCCGATGGAGCATCGGAAAGGTTGTGGACTTCGCAGCTTCTCTAGCCAGTCTTAGAAATGAAAACAACAAGTTGACGGTGAAGGTAAGTGCAGTCACCATTCTTCCTTAGGTTCTGGCATCTGTCCATAAGTGTGTGTCATTGTCACTGTGTGGTCTATTTCTCTCACCATTCTTCCTTAGGTTCTGGGATGTGTCCATTAGTGTGTGTCATTACCACTGTGTGATTTGTTTCTCTCTCAGCAGAAGCTGAGGCTGTGTCACATTCCTTCAGGAGAAGCCCTGCCTTTGGATCACACTTTGGAAGCATGGATCACTAAGGAGGACCACCCTTTATACAATGGAGGAAATGTGATTTTGGAGTATCTTAATGATGAAGAACAGTTTTTAAAAAATGTTGACTCTTATTTGGAATAATCACTCAAGGATTACAAGCAGAAATCATTCTTTTACTACAGATACTTTTTTAAAACTCTAAAAGTGGCTTTTTTATAATTTATTTCCATTAGGTCATAATTTACGTCGGTAGTTTCCTACTGAGTTCTGGGTTTTGTGTTTTAAAGTTTAACTGTGCATTGGTAGTTATGGCAAAGTATTATTTTTATTATTGTTTCTGGGTTATGCTGCAAAAATATCAGCTACCATGTCATTCCAGTGCCAGCTGTTGACTGGCTGCTATGGCACGTTCTGTACCACCTTCACCCCAAGGTCCGGCTCACACGACACCCACTTTTTTGTGATTTTACCATTCTTGTGACAGAGGAAGATGCAGATGGCAGATGCTTCAGTACTTGTTGCTTTTGTTTTAAGAAAGTCCTATGATTACGTCTAAATGATTACAGGGCCAGAAAACATAGCCTACTATATACCTAAATGATGACATTTGAATTGATATATGCACATGAATTACAGAATCTTAGATATTCTCTATTCAGTCTTCCAGGTATTTGGGTAAGAAACCTCAGTCTAAGAAGGGAAAGTTGTTTTTCTTGGTATCATGTAATTGCACTGGATATATTTCTGGTAAGGAATTTTCTCCAGTAGGAGTCACCTTTTTGTTGGTATGACTATTTTACAAATGAGAAGGGCAATAAATGGACTGACTTTGTTACAGTCTCTTTCATTGTGCCAAAGCAAAATATACACTAAAAATTATTGCATTTTACCTATAAATTGAAGTCCTCTTGGAGAATGCTTTTTGTCTACACATGAGGAGAATGAATGTGTTCTACCTATAGTGGATGAAGGACTTCACCAGAGAAGGAAATAAAGTATTTTTAATTGCCCCCCTTTTGTGTGCCATTTGTTATGGCTTTAGGTTTAATTAAAACAATAAACAGCATGTTCTTTTGATCTTCGTCAGCTCCATCTTTTTCATGTCCATGTGATGAATACTGATAACTTCTGGCTTTTATAAGGTTCTGAATTCATTCCTTTACATAGTTACCTGCATAACTACTTGATACACTAATCTCTAATTGCCAATATGGACACAATGAAGATATTATACATATACTTAGAACTGTCATACAAAGTTGTAATGCCAGTTGCAAATAACTTAATAGACAGTATAGCTATGTCCCAATAGCTGTTTTATTGGAAACTGTCAAACTAGAGATAGTTTGGTTTTGGTTTGGTTTTCATTTGGTTTGGTTTTTTGTTTGTTCTTTTGAGATACTAGAAAAGTTTCGATAACACCAACCATTACTATACATTAATCACAATTACTTGAACACACTAAATGCAAGCACATATAATTGAATGAAAAATATGTCAGAAAAAATAATACCTACTCAGGCGAGAGCAAATAAGGCTGGTAGAAATTGAAACCTATGAAGGATGAAAAAAAAAAGTCTTCTCTCTTTGGTCAGAGAAAAGGGACAAGGCTATCCAGAGGGGGATCAACAACAGTAGGTACACCATCCTTAAGTTAGGTCCTAGCTTTTATAAGGTCTGGAGGATACCAGGGATGGACATCCTTGGTACTAAAGACTGGCAGCTAAAGCATGCTTAGTCTAGAGAGGACAAGGTGTGGGTGAGAGTCTCATTCTCCTAACTCCCTGTGTCCAGCTCACTGAAAGCAGAGCACTCAGGACTTCCAGGTAAGCCTGCCTAATGAAATGGCGGGGTTACAATGTCGCCATCCTCCCTAGTGTCTTCATTGCTGACAGACAATCAAAATTGTACAGGAAAGGCACCAAGCATAGGAGAGGAATGCAGATGAACAGTTGAAATAATACCTTGATACCAATGAGCATCAGTCTAAAGAAGGAGGAGATGCATGAGGAAGCTGGATGGGGTTCTTCCTAGCCACAGTGATCAGGTGTTAGTCCCCACGTTTTCAGATATGAAGAAGGGTTGGGAGAACCTGAAAGAGAAACAAAGTAACTAGATAAAGTACATGAGTGAAGAAGCATGCATACTTCACATTGCTTGGATCTGCTCTATCAAAGTTGTGAATTAAGGTACTAGGTCGTGTAATTGTAAGGGTAACTCATTTTCTAAGTTACATTATTTAGTTTTGGTGTGGGAGGCACATGTCACAGCATGTGTGTGGATGTCAGAGGGCAACTTTGAGAATTGGTTTTTTCCTACTATGTGGGTTCTGGGGATCCAACTTAGACATTCACCCTGGTAACAGGTACCCTACCCACTGAGCTATCTCACTGGACTCCACTCATTTTGACAAGTTCTTACTGTGTAGCCCAGGCTGACTCTCCTGTTTCAGTGTCAGTGTCAGGTATTTTTGTCACTTTAACGTTACTTGGGACACCTGAGTGTGGTGGCTCATGCCTTTAATCTCAGCACTCAGGAGGCAGAAAGTAGATCTCTGTGAGGTCAGAACCAGCCTGATCTGCATAGTGAGTTCCAGGCCAGCCAGCCAGAGGTTCAAACTGATACTCTGTCACTAAACAAGCTCCTTTGGAATTTTACTGGTGTCACTGAGCAGAGCTTAATCCTAGTCCCTGTCCTCAACACTAGTAAATAGGTCTTGTTTTTCTTAATGTTCTACATGGACATAAATTAATAATGCTCAACTCTACCATGTGTGAAAGACATACACAGCCTTTTTACAAATCAGTCAAACTGAAAATGCCATGATGAAGCTCACTACTGTTTATTCTAACACACAAGTAGACACTTGTAGTAGTGGGGAGTTGATTTGAATTTTTACTGCTTGGCATCCTCTCATTTGGGAAATATACAGCTGAGTTTGTGGATTTTCCTCAGCCATGAGGCATGGCTGGGTCAGTTGACTGGTGCCCATGCCCCTAGCTGTGCATAGTGAGTCATGTTACTAAGAAAAACTAGAGCATTAGAATTAAGGTCAGTATCTTTCCACTATGAAATTCCAAATGCTGAGTAGCAACAACTGCTTAGCCAGGTTATGCCTTTAACTACCTACTTAGGTTTTCAAGTTAACCTGATGACCATGCCAGATGTTTTCCTACATACAGACACCAAGAGTAGTCTAAGGGTTTGTTTTGCCTGATAGAATTGCTCTAGAACTCCAAAAAACAATTAGCATCAAGGATGTTCTCAAGGCCAGCCATTGTGGCCATTGATGGCAGCCACATGTCTAATCTCAAGATAACAAAGTTGTACTTTGCTTGGTCACTATGGTTTTCAGTTTAGGGCCCCAGTGTTACTATAGGTGTGAATCGGGGTGCATAGGGCACCTTCTCCAACTTCCAATTGTTTGTGTCCCTGAAACAGGAATTGGACTAGGGACAGACACATGGATGGCATCTGGAAAAGATAGTTTATTAAGAGAGTGTTTTGTGTTGGTGGCACATGCCTTTAATCCCAGCACTCGGGAGGCAGAGGCAGGTAGATCTCTGTGAGTTCGAGGCCAGCCTGGTCTACAAAGCAAGTTCCAGGACAGCCTCCAAGACAATACAGAGAAAGCCTGTCTCGAAAAAAAAAAAAAAAAAAAGAGGGTGTTTTCACAGGCGGAAATACACAGGGCTGGAGAAGGAGTAGGAGTTTAGTGGTACCCATTCAGAGCAGATTGGCACATTTGTACCGCTCATTGTTTTTCCGGGCATGCTCAGTGAGAAGACAGACTTGGTAGGAAGGGGCTTCCAGTCTTTCAGCTAACAAGCTTCTTTCATAGGCCTGTTTTCACTAATTCTCTCTTTGTCTCCTTTCCTCCCTCTCCCTTATGCCCTTCCCTCTTTCTCTCCCTTAACCCCTCCCCCCTCCTCTCTCCCTACCACACACTGCCCTGTCATACCAGCATGTGGATAGGGTCTTTTGACTTGATGGAATAGGAATAATAATCTCCAAGTGTTAGTATCTATCTTAGATTTGTTTCCTGGCTGCTTTTATTATTTTCCTTAGGAAGAAGGAGAACTAAAAAAATAATAGCTCCAGGAGTTTATCCTCAGGTAACAAGGAACTCTGGGAGAGAGATTAGGTTTTTTGTTTGTGATGGTGATACCTATTAAATGCAAGGCTTTACTTGTCAGTTTCCCTAACTACAAGTAAAACTGGTTGTGTCACTCACTAGATAACTTTATATTCGTTCAAAGTACAACAGTTCCTCCTCTTGGACCTTGACCCGCCAAACTCTAGCTGTTACCTAACTCACATTTATGCCTTCTGCCACTGAAGACCTGCAAGAAGAATGGCCTTTTGGTTTTAGAAAAAAAAGTTGCCACATACGGTTTATCTAACCGTTCAAAATGTTTGGAAAATCTTTTCTAATCCTACTTCTGTTGGTGACCCCAGGAGAAACAAGGAAGTCGTTTCTCAGTATCCTGAATATACAAAATACAGAAATACTGTCATTTGCAAAGACAGAAGAAACGGTCGTTGTAAGGTCCAGTTACAAACGGCCTAACTCCAGCTTCCTGTCTGTGAAATTAGAAGATCCAAAGGTGCTGCAGGTGGTGAACGTGACCAGGACCTTGCTGGACGTCACAGACTTTACCATCAGCTTAATGACTTTCCCAGGGGAGACGAATCTGACCATTCAACTCTGGGATTCCGAAGGTAGGCAAAAGATACTCATCGAAGAGATAAAGAACGTGAAAGTCAGAGTGCTCCGACAGACAGAAGATAGCCTCTTCCAGGCACCAGTGCCTGCCAATAGATATATCTTGATGCTTGTTTTAGCCATGATCCTTGTAAATAAATGTGCCTTTGGCTGCAAGATTGAATTCCAGATACTTCAAACAGTATGGAAGAGACCTTTGCCGGTAGTTCTTGGGGCAGTTACACAGTTTTTTCTTATGCCTTTCTGTGGTTTTCTTTTATCTCAGATTTTGGGATTGCCCAAAGCACAAGCTTTTGGATTTGTAATGACCTGCACATGTCCAGGGGGAGGTGGGGGCTATCTTTTTGCCCTCCTTCTGGAAGGAGATGTTACTTTGTCCATTTTGATGACTTGCACGTCAACATCCCTGGCTCTGATAATGATGCCTGTCAATTCCTACTTATACAGTAGGCTATTAGGATTACCGGGTGTATTTCATGTTCCTGTTTTAAAGATTATGTCTACACTCCTTTTCATCCTCACACCAATATCGATTGGTGTAGTCATCAAGCACAGAACACCCGAAAAAGCAATCTGTTTAGAGAGAGTAGTTCGACCTCTGAGTTTGACTTTAATGTTTGTAGGGATCTATTTGGCTTTCAGGATGGGATTGGTATTTCTGAGAATGGCCAACCTAGACGTGCTTCTTTTGGGGCTTTTGGTTCCTGCACTGGGCTTTTTGTTTGGCTATTCCTTTGCTAAAGTCTCTATGCTACCTCTTCCTGTTTGCAAAACGGTTGCTATCGAAAGTGGGATGTTGAATAGTTTCTTAGCCCTGGCCATTATTCAGCTCTCTTTTTCACAGCCCATGGCCTACGAAGCCTCTGTAGCTCCTTTTACAGTAGCCGTGTGTTCTGGATGTGAGATGTTGCTACTCCTCCTGGTCTACAAGGGCAAGAAAAGAGGAGTCAATAGCACAGGAACTGAAAAGACTCCTCTAGTCTAAAACTTACAGCACTCCTAATTCTTGCCCTGGCTGAAATACTGTGGGAAATTCAAACTCTGAAAATAAGGCACCTTTCATCTTGTTAAAAGCTTGATATGGGAGGTGAGGAGATTATTTCTTCTAATACCTTCATGTGTATGCTTTATATATCTGTGTGTGTAACATACGGGTGTATAATGCGCTATACACATATTGGTATGTCATATATGTTTACATGTATATGTTATATGTGTCATATATGTGGTCATATATTTATTCTATATAACACATATGTAGAACACACACATTTATGTTACTCATAGTAAGCACCTAGTGACTGCTACACTACATATTAAGAAGGGAGACTAAGATATCCTTTCAGTGTGTTAGTTTGGTAAAGATTTTACAATCTCTTAATGGAAATAACCAGTGACTTGTGTATATCCTAAGTTTTTAAGGAAAGAGTCCTTACGATGGGCAGAGAATGGTGACTCAGGGAATGGGTATGCACATTCCTATCTGACATTCCCATGAGCTCATTTGGAAGCAGCATGTCTTGAATAAACGCAGCAGCTCTGTTTCCACATCCACATGGGCTACTGACTTCTATACTCCCCACCAAAGGCACTGCCACTTATCCGGAAAGGACATCTCCTCCCTCATCTGTCCTTTTTAAAGAACAGTCAACTTCATAATTGTGAAATGTTTCATCTAGCCTCCTCCCTATTCCCAGGGCTATTGCTTTTGTTACTCCTGTACTACTGCTTCCCCAAACCTTTCCAAACTGGCTTTGGTTTCCTTCTTTTAACGGCAGTCAATCACATGGATCTTATAAAAGTCTAACTTGGATCGCATAATTTCCCTGAGGTGAAGCCCATTTGCTATGAGCATAAAGCTCCTATTCCTGGGTAAGGCATTTATCACCCCAACTTAGCACAGCTTTCCAGTTTGTTCCCTGCTGCTGCTTTACATTCTGTGGGTTTCTTATGACTCCAATTTTGGCTCTGCCTAAGGCACATGCTCTTGTCTTATACAGGCCTTTGCTTCTTTGTGAAGCAGAGGTCGAGTGGTTCACGGATATACCTTGTGCAAGCCAGCCAGGCTGTTTTATAGCCATTTCTGTCCTGTTTAATCTCCTTACTCATCTGTAAGCATGAAACCCATTTGCATTTTTTCTACCACTCTAGCACATAATTTCCCATATGCTTATTCAAACAAACTATTAAAGCACAAGCTAGGACTCAGATGAAGGCTATGCTTCAAAAGTAATCGATTAGTCTTTGGTCAGGTGTGTAATGTAGGGGGAGGGCTTGTCTGGCATATTTGAGGCCCTGGATTGTAACACTGCAAAAATAAACACACACACACACACACACACACACACCTCTATATGCACTTCATGGGATAGATTTTTGCATCATTCAAATTTATAACTAAAATTTTCAATGCATTTTTTAGTATTTGAGACAGTCCATATTCTTGTCAAAGACAAAGTGGCCATTAAGCTTAAAAAAAAATCCAGCACTCGGGAGGCAGAGGCAGGCGGGTCTCTGTGAGTTCGAGGCCGGGCAGGACCGACAGCCTCCAAAACAATACAGAGAAACCCTGTCTCGTAAAACCAAAATATATATATATATATATATATATATATCGCCCTTAATAATATGCCTTTTCCTATTTGTTATTTCCTTGTTGTTGGAGGCAAAGTAAGTACCCATAGTCCAGTTCCCTTATTTAAAAAAAAGTGGAAATAATGATGTCAACTCCATTAGATTACCCTGGGAATTATATTCAACCATACATATGCTGTGCTTAATAGAGCACAGGGTTAACTATTATTACTGTTTTGTTGAGTTTAAACTGTTAACACTGACAGATTCATACTAGTGGTTTGAAATGTCAATTAGACAGCTATGTTTGGAGCCTAAACCTTTAATATTTTCCTATTGGTGTTCTTGCCTATAGTATTGTAGTACTGGTAACTTCTGTTCTCTACTGATAGAAGACAGACAAATCTGTTCTTTCATATGCCACTAAGTCCAGTGTATAAAAAAACAAGATTCATAAAAGACCTGATGGTGTGATGTTGGACAGCTATCCTGATCTTAAAAACAATGATTGCCTCCCTGGAATATTTGACTCCTTTCAACAGAAATATCCATTCAGAGGCTCAAAATATAAACATCCTTATATAGTACAAACTTAACTAGGCATCTCTTAATGAACATAATTTGCCAATAGCAAGCCAGGAAACCTGCCTTTCTAGTTGTGCTTTATGATCAACCTTATGACACTAAGAGTATCCGTTTTCAAATCTGTAAAACCCAGAGAGGAGAGCTCTCTCTCTCTCTCTCTCTCTCTCTCTCTCTCTCTCTCTCTCTCTCTCTCTCTCTCTCTCTGTGTGTGTGTGTGTGTATGTGTGTGTGTTTAAGATTTCTGTATCATCTCGAGAGTCTTTCTCTTGTCATGTATGGAGGTCTCTACAACCATCAGAACCAACTTTCGAACACTCAATAACAGGGTTTTGTACTTTGTGGCACCAGCTTGCAGCACTGCCATAAAGGAATCAGAACATCAGACACTGTTGTGCACTTTACTTTCAGAAATCACTCGACAACAGAATGGACTGTTTGTGCTGAAAACTGAGTTGCCTGACAATAATAGTTCTAAGAGCATCAGAGGCTGCTGCAAAACAAAAACAAAAACAACAACAACAAAAACCAAATCAAAACCAGAGTTCCTGCTCATCTGATATAGGAAGCTAGCAATAGCTTTAATGTAAAGGAATCCTATATGTATTCCCTCGTTTATCTTACTTCAAGATGGTTACATTACTTAGCCTTGCCAAGTCAGTGGGACAATTTTCACTCATAAAAGGTTGAAGGATGATATTTCTTTAAATGCTTGGGGAATTCCATTTGTTCACATATCCATGCCTGTCATCATACATTTGATAAGTTTTTTATTTTAAGATGGTTGACAATAGGTAACCCCAAAACCTAGTTCTTGAAGGCCTTAAAAAGAAGTATTTGATAGAGGTATCCAAATCAGTTTCTTAAGGTAACATTCTTCACAAGAGCAAAGACAAGTTTTGGCTCTTCATGGAGTTTACAAGTTGGATTCACTATTTCTGCCACTCATCTCTGACATGTTGCACATCATTAATAATTTCTTGTCTTTTGATTAAGTCAAGAGGAGCAATGAATTCACAAGCAATTATGCAAGGACACTGTAGTCCTCTTGTGGGTAGTTCATGTGGGTAGAGCTTTCCTTTTAAAAGTAACACACCTGCATCATACCTGACATACCATTTCAAGCGAAGAAACATTTTAAGAACCACACACTAGCCTGTGTTGACCATATGGAGCAACCTGGTTGAGCCATGCATATTCTCTGTATGTGGACTTTGGAGTCAGGGAGCCATGCTCATGCTGTTTGAGTTTGAGACAAACCCTTTAATTTCTCTAAGCCCCAGCTTCGTTATCTGTGTAATGAAGAGAATCTTCATTAAATTGCTGCAACACTTACATTTAAGCATGTAAGAGCACAATTTCTGCCTGGTGTGGTGGCACCTGCATATAATCTGAGAACTCCGGAAGTGAAGACATGAGAATCAAGGACTTCAGAAGCCAACTTAGGCTACATAATGGGACATTGTTAAAAATCCATGGCTGGGAAGGAAGCTCGATGACGGGGTGCTTGTATACTATTTGCAAAACTCTAGGTTTTATCCTTAGAACTGAGGGTTGGGGTGGGTGGGAAGTACAACTTCCTGCAGCCTGTCAAGTCCTCAACTAACAACAACCGGTATCTAAGTGAATTACTGAGAAGAGTAGTGTTGGTGCTGACAGCCAATTTTCAAAAAGTTTAAATCTCCTTTAGGCTTACCTAGGACAGGTTTAGTAAATAAAAGTTGCACAATGACAGTCACGACTCCTATTTATCTGTGACCAAAGAGCAAGATGGAATTCAAGCATCAGATGGGAGAAAGGGAAATGGGAAAACATGAACTATAAGGACGAAGGTGGAGAACTGCAAAATAAACAGGGTCCCCAGAGAAGAAAGGACGTGCAGGAGCATGCCAGAATACACCACCTTCAACCAGACCAAGCCTTGCAATAAGGATGTCCTGGCTGGCAATTCTGAGCGCAGTCCAGACGTGAAGGCGGGGTTTCTAGACGGCCCGGCCCGGCCCGTAGGCTTCCAGGGGCGGGACTTCCTGTCGAGCAACCCCGTTACCTCCGGAAAAGCCGAGACTTCGACCCCGGCAGTTGAGCATCGCGGTGCGCTCACGCGAGGTAAGTCCGTTCTGTCCCCGCATCCCCGCGCAGCTTATTCGGTGGCTGAGGTGCAGGCTCTGGCGAGCTGCAGGCGAGTTGCCGCCATGCTGGGCTGGGGCGGCGGCCGGGCCCTTCTCCCTGCTGTGCTTTCCGTAGTTCTCCGGAAATAGCCGAACAGGTTCGCTAGGTCACCCTCCTTGATCTCTGAGGCTCTGTGTCGCTAAATAAGCCCGACTCTACCGAAGCCCTCAGGGATCTCTCTGGCAAGTTTCCTGGGTCACGAAATCACAGGGTTGGGGATGGACAGGCCCAGGTCCGGTGATGTCTTGCATCGCGAGCGGGGACAGGTGACAGGGGAGAGGAGCGGCTGTACAGGATAGAAACAGTTTTAAGTCTGTGTGATTTTGTTCCCAAAGTGAAGGCTGATAGACTATGACCCCCGTGAAAACAAGTCTTGGGGCAAGGAAGTCTTTGAAATAAAAGGGTTTATTGAGCCGTTTACATATAGTAGGTAGGGCACACTTCGTAAACTACCAACAAGGGTAAAATAGTGCGTCTGAGATCTATAGCTAACGGTATTTTTGGATTTCAATGCACAGGCCTACATTTTAGTTCTCCATTATTGCCCCTACCCCACAAAAAAAAAGAACAAACCCCAAACAACTGTTACCTAATTGACTTCCCTCATCTCTTCCTTCTTCTGAACCTCGGTACATTTCATGGTACCTTAGAAAATCTCTTATCAGTCGCCTTTGTGACTAAATGCTGTGTAGCAACAGCAATTTTTCTGCAAATGTCTATTGGTTGGTATCTATTCAGCTGAATAATTCCTTGAAGAGGTGATGGGTAGCTTTTGAAATGGTCTTGGAATTGGTGGGTGTTCTGTCAATGTTGTCACAAGGTGACTTGTGAGAGTCTTGAGAAGTTTCTGGTGAGGAAGCAGACCAGCCCAAGAGTGTCGAGTTGTGATGAGACGGTAAGAACAAGAATGATAAAGTTTGGAAACCATTCTTGGAGAGCTCTAAGAAGTTAATCATATAACTCAAAAGGTAGTCTTTTATACAGTTACTCCAGTGTTTGTATCATAAGGAAAAGGCATTTAGTCACAAAGGCATATGCCTGTAATCCCAGCCAGCATTCTGGAAACTGAGCCAGGATAGGTAAGAGTTTGAAGCCCACCCTGTCTCAAGTAAAAAGGAAAATGAAGCAGCCGCCAGTGGACACTGGTACACCTTCTGCTCTGTGCCCCTGTGCTTCTCTCCTGTGCAGTGAGGCAGAGATTTCACATGTCTCTAAAGAGGAAGCATGGTGTCACTTGCGCTCAGTTGTGAAGCGGAGTTAGTGTGGCTTTATACAGAAGGCCTCCTTTTCTGAGCGTGACCACTTCCAAGCTTCCCTCTGCTAGGAACCCTTGTTAGCATGTGGTCGAGCCTGTGGTGGGTCTCCAGTGGCCAGCAGAAAGCTGGCCAAGCCACACAGTTATGCTCTCCCCTCCCTGAAGCCCAGCGGTAAATGGTGCCTATGCCTTTATAATTAGATTTTTAGACCTAGAGTTTTCTTCCCTCAGAATGCTGTAACGGAAAGCATGTAACTTCCACTCATACACCTACTTAGCCTTTAGACTACTTCTTAACCTGTCTATTACCTAAGCATCAGTTGGGCCCCCATCATCTCCCATAACATGATATGGTGTGGCCTCTCCCCAAAATATGATATTGAATGGACACCTTGGGAGACAACTTCATAGAACATTTTTTTTTTTTTGGTTTTTTGCTTTGATAATTCTTCTATTAAGTTGGGTATAGTGGCACATCCTAGCACTTGGGAAGTAAGAGGCAGGGGGATCAGGAGTTCAGGGTCATTCTTGACTATTTACTGAGTTTGAGACCAGCCTGGACTATGAGACACTGACTCAAAACAACAGCAGTAGCAAAAAGTCTCTACTCTATAGGTGAAATATGGGATATTTCAGGGTGATTTTTACTGGGCCTATATCTTGGGGAAAAATATTGAACTGTAGACCAGGGAAGGGGTGAATCAAAATAAAAGATAAGTTTTTCATTGAGATGCTTATGTAAACAAATGCCTGCAGAGTTTGTAACTGTTCTGTGCTTACCTGTGTTGAATATGTTTAGAAGATGTCAGACCCTTGGCAGGAGTGCATGGACTATGCGGTGACCCTCGCAAGACGAGCTGGAGAGGTATGGGCTACAGTTTTGTTGCCAGAGTGATGTGTGTGGATACTGCAGTGTGGCCTTGTTCCACACTTTAAATACAGTGAAATTGATTGTGTGTGTGTGTGTGTGTGTGTGTGTGTGTGTGTGTGTGGGTGTGGGTGGGTGTGGGTGGGTGTGGGTGGGTGTGGTGTGGGTGTGGGTGTGCACTCGCATGGCACTAGGGATGGAACCTGGGACGACGTGCGTGCTGGACTTTTCAGTTTGTATTGTTAAGCTCTTGTGACAACAGTCCTGAATTTAAAATAGGATATGAACTCATGTAATATTTTACCTAGAAGTTCATAACTCTAAAATGTCTTATTTCATAGACACCTTTGAGAGAAAAATTTAAGAATGTCATGTAAGACTGAATGCTTGAAATTATTTTTTGTAATTTACCTTTTTGTTTGGTTTAAAATTACTTACATCTTTTTTATTTGCTTGCCAAAAACATCTTTTTAGATGATTCGGGAAGCTCTGAAAAATGAGATGAATGTCATGATTAAAAGTTCTCCAGCTGACTTGGTAACAGTCACCGACCAGAAAGTTGAAAAGATGCTCCTCTCTTCTATAAAGGAAAAGTACCCATCTCACAGGTATTTCCTGTAACGATTTAAAGTAATAAAATTAAACCTAGGTTGTAATCTATGCACAAAGCCAGAGTTGTTTCTAGATACAGAGTGGCAAGTTGACTTCAGCTTGAGAAGGACCTTATTTGAGGGTATTGGGCAGCTCAGGCCAAGATGATGGGTAGGAAGAAGACACGCCTGAGGGTGATGTCTGGGCCATTGCTTTGGATAGTGTGTGTGGTCTTGGTCTTGACTGATGGCTTTGGCTGTTTCTGACCAATCTGTTCTATATTTTTACCTCATTAGTTAAGGTTCCAAATCCTGAGAAAGACTCCTTGGTACTGAGTTGGGGTGGCTTGTAGTATGCTTCTGGGGATGGGGGAAGAGAGCATCTTTTGATTCCTTAGTGATAGGAGGAATTTTTAGATGGTGGAAGCAATTGTCTGCTGTTGTAGGCACAGTTGAAAAGCTCAGTTAAACTTGCACTGCAAAGTTTCTTCTGTGTGTGAGGGAAATGGTAGCATTGAGAAGTTTGAGAGAAAATCCTGAAGTCAGGACTCTGCACAGACACAAAATTTAGCAGAAACTATTGTCAGCCAGACAAGGTGGCAGATGCCCCTAATTCTAGAAAAGCAGTGTGAGAGAAAGATGCCATTAGACAGGGTTCAAGCAGAGGGTTTTTTTTTTTTTATTAGGGAAAGGGATCATAAAAAGGGGAAAGGGGAGTGGGGAGACCAGCTTCCAGAGACAGGAGCAGCAGGAGAGAGGCGGAGAGAGGAAAGAGGGGGAGAGAGAAGAAAGAAGGGGAGAGAGGGGACACAGACAGGAAGGGAGAGAGAGAGAGGGAGGGGGGGAAGGGGGGATGGGAGAGGGAGGCTAGGCTGTGGCAGGACCCTTTTAAGAGGGTACACAGTGAATGTGCACAGGTGATGCTCTTAGTGGCTGCAGCTGAGGGCGTATCCCGTCAGAACCCCAAGGGTAGGCCAGTACAGATGCCTGAATGGAAGATGGAGTTAAGAAGCATGGGGATGTGTAGCCAGCCAAGGCTCCACAGTGAGACCTTGTTTCAGGAAACTCCAGGCTGGAAACAGGTCAGCTGTAGAGCATTTTTTGCATGAGCAAATCCCCAAGTCTGATCCCCAGAACTTTAAGAAATCAAAAGTCATCCTTTGAAAGTGTGAGTGCTGGAGTTGTTACTTTTCTCTCCTGTGGCATCAGTCATTGTCAGTCTTTTAGTCACCAAGAAGGAAAATATGTAAAGTTGTGATTGAACATACTTCCTTAATAAAACAGCTTAGAAGTAAGAGAAAGCGGGGGAAGGGACAAATATTTAATAGAACAGTTCAGTATCTAACAAAGAATTCAGAAAATAGGAGAGAAGAAAACCAATGAACTCAGACACCATTTATAAGATCAACTTATGGTTGTTGTGCAGTCATTTTGCTGGGCAGTTTGTATTCTCGTTAACTTACCGACTGTTCTCTGTTATTTATTACTCCTTTTGAAATGATTCTAAATGACATACACAGTGCTTCATAATTGTGCCAGAGTTGGGAAGATGGGAGTAGCTGGGCTGCATGACCCTGGCTGAGGTCTCAGTCAGTGGTCCAGAGGTGCAGTCACCGTGGCTCCAGTCTGGAGTGTCCCTTCACATCTGTGCTTGCGGGCAGCGTCAGCTCCCTGTGGATGGTCTGCTGGCAGTTCTGCATGTTTGTGGCATCCTCAGAGCTACATGGAAGCTGGCTTCTCCTAGGACAGGGAGGGAGAAACAGTGTGAACAAGATGGGAACTACCGAGCCAGTAAAGAGGCCATATAACCGTCACTCATGCTGTATTCTGTGGATTAGAAATCAGCTTTACACTCAGAGAAAGTGCTATGTGGTACTAGACAATTTGTGGTCTTTGTACTATTTCTTTGAATTTGTTTGATTTTAAGACAGAGTCTCACCCTTGCCGAGGCTATCCAGGAATTCACGATTCTTTCTCCTGTACCTTCTGAGTACCAAGATTTTAGGCAGCCATGCCCTCCCTGTGCTCTTACTTTTGAAATCGCTGTAGTTCCTTAATTTCTCATTTAAGGATGACTTTTTTGGATGTGTGAGCTTTTCACTGCATCTATGCCAGCATGCGTTTAGAATTTAGGTTTCTGTACTGTTTCACATGCCTTTGTTCTAGGGAAAGTAGAGCTTTGTCCTGTTTATAGGGTATGAATGTGTGTGTGTGTGTGTGTGTATGTGTATTTTATTTGTAGAAAGAAAACAGGCCAGGCAGTGGTGGTACACACCTTTAATCCCAGCACCTTGGAGGCAGAGGCAGATGAATTTCTGTGAGTTTGAGGTCAGCCTGGTATCCAGGACAGCCAGGACTGTTACACAGAGAAACCCCTTGTCTCAAAAAAGCAAACAAACATAAAAAGCAACAATAGGACAATAGTCTAGACTTGGCCTTTGTTTAAGGAAATGAAGCATAAAGTCCTGACTCCACCTTAGAGGTTAGAAGTTTGTGTTTCTTGCTTTCAGTTTCATTGGGGAAGAATCTGTGGCAGCTGGGGAGAAGACTGTCTTCACAGACAAGCCCACGTGGATCATTGACCCTATTGATGGAACGACAAACTTTGTACATAGGTATGCCTTTAATTTTAATGTAATTATCGTTGAGTGTTAACTGGATGAAGACTCTCTAATGAAGCCAAACATACTTCAGGAAGCTGTATAAATTATTTTTGCTTCTTTATTCTAAGAAACTGTATATAGAGTGTAGAGGTGGAGCTACGTGTACTATGCAAGCTTTCTCTACGATGTGGAGGAAGTGAAGAAATGGTCCTGTGTGGACTTGTGTGGTGTGCCTGGTCACCATTCTCTCTCCTTCTGTGAAGACTGTATAAACATGTGAGGGGCGATAGCGCACTTCAGTAAAGGAATTGGTGCATTCCCTGATGCGATGCTGTCTGTGCAGTGAGTTCCCTCTAAGAGAAAAGAGGGATGCTAAGGGGTGTGGGTGTTAGATCTGCAGACTGAGATCTGAGTCCTACAGCTTGTTTATTGCCTCTGTCAGTCTTTCTAAGCCTCACTTTACAAACTACTTAAAACTATGGTGGTGAGATGGCTCAGTGGTTAAGAGCATGGACTGCTCTTCCAGAGGACCCTGGTTACGTTCCCAGTACACACATGGCCTCTCACAGCCATTTGGAACTTCAGTCCCATGGGATCCAACACCATCTTTGGTCTACAAAGATACTGCCCGAACCTGGTGCTTAAACACCCATAAAATAGAATTAAAGGTTAAAAAAAGGTACTTAAAATCCAAATGTTCCAGTTTGCTATCTGTTACTGTGAAAAAACCATGACCAAAAGCAACTTGGGGAAAGAAAGGGCTATTTCATCTTACTCTACAGTTCATCATTGAGGAAAGGCAAGCAAGAACCCAGGGCAGGAGCTGATGCACAAACCGTGGAGGACTGCTTACTGGCTTGCTTCCCCTGGCTTGCTCTGGTGCCTTCTATAGCCCAGGCCTACCTGCCCACAGGTAGCACCACCCACAGGGGGCTGGCCTTCCTTACATCAATTAGTAATTAAGAAAATGTTCTGCAGACATTCCTATAGGCCAGTTTAATGTAGACAATTCCTCAATTGAGATTTCCTCATAGATATGTCTAGGTTTGTGTCAAGTTGGCAAAGTATGATAGTATAATCCTAGCGCTTGGGAGGCGGAGGTCAGCCTGGACTACATATTCAATTCCAGGACTACATAGTGATATGTTATATTTTTAAAAGACCTTATAAAATGGCCATATTAATAACACTTGCTTCATAGAATTGCTTCTTGATTCTTGTACACTTTCATAAGAACTTAGTATATTGTTTGACATGGTAAGGTTGTCTTGTAGCTGTGCCTACACACATGTATGTGTATGATACATATGCAGTTACGAAAGTCTATAAAACAGTGAAGCATAGAATCCACATGTGACAAGGCATTGTGCCTTTTTTTTTTTTTTTTTTTTGGTTTTTCGAGACAAGGTTTCTCTGTGGCTTTGGAGGCTGTCCTGGAACTCACTCTGTAGACCAGGCTGGCCTCGAACTCACAGAGATCCGCCTGCCTCTGCCTCCTGAGTGCTGGGATTAAAGGTGTGCGCCACCAACGCCCGGCGGCATTGTGCCTTTTAAATATGGAAGCTGCTTGAGATACATTGAATAAGACAAAAGATTTTAATGTGTTTTTATTAAAATAAAAACTCCATGTTAAACACTTACGCTTATTTTCAGTTCAGAATTTAAGCTTATTTCAGTTAGGTTTGAACCTATTTTGCCTAATTTTTTAAAAATTCCAATTCACTGTGTGTGAGAATATAGAATATCTGTGCAAACTAGAAGCTGTAAAATCACTGTGGCGAACAGTTTGTTTTTTCTAACATCAGTTCCAAGTTTCAGGTCAGAATAAGAACACACAGGTTTTTTCTTCCCTGTGTTTGCTGGTGGTAGGGAAAATGAAAGGACTCTTTTCTTTTTAGCTGTGACCAGTGTTAAAGAATTTAAATTTGTATTTTGGAAAAAAAGTCCTGTAAGTAACTGCTTATTTATAGTATCTGACACTCAAGGGCTGTAGGATGGTGTACAGTACTGTTTTCTCCCCCACTCTGTCTCCCTGTTACTGGAGATCCATTTCTGCAAGTGACATTGTTGCCAGTTCCTTGTAACCCTTTCAGTCATGCTAATGTCTGTAGAAGCATTGTGTGTGTGTGTAGATCATGCCCTTTTCTCTTCTCCCATTTATATGCATAACTTGTGACATATTCCATCTTCAGGGTTATGAGAATTAATCTTGTAAGTACTTTTGGAATTAAATTCTGTCTTGGTTAGTTTGTGGATTTTTTTTTCTAGGTTTCCCTTTGTAGCTGTTTCAATTGGCTTCGTTGTAAATAAACAGGTATGTCTAAAATGTTTGGTTCACAAAATATCTTGCTTTTCTTTTCTGAGAAAAAGTAAATTTTTCTTAGTTTGGTTTGTGCTACCGCATCATTGTAAACATAAGCTACAAGACCGGGCACGTCTTCGAATACATTTCTAGTGGATAAGGTTATGTCTTGAAAGACATGGTGGGAATGAGAAACTGAAAACAAGTAAACACTGTCATATTTTTGACACACACAGCTATGACAAGAGTTAATGTGACTTTAAAATGTCTCACAGACTAGGTGGGACATTTCTAAGTATGTCTCCCTGATGTGAAGGAAGGGAGATGTTGAAAGATAACAACATGCCGAGTGTTGATGGTGCACGCCTTTAATGCCAGCACTCGGGAGGCAGAGGCAGGTGTATGTCTGTGAGTTCGAGGCCAGCCTTATCTACAAAGTGAGTTTCAGGAAAACCAGGGCCACACAGGAAACCCTGTCTCAGGGCTTGGGGAGTGGGGTTGTGGGGGGAGAAAGACAACAATGTGTCAGGGGCCAGAGGAAGGCTGGAAATAGCAGGGTATGTTTAGGAACATAGACACGATTGAATGCTAACATACAAAACCCAATAGAGTAAGATGTTAGCTGTTGTGCTCTCTTTCTGTTCATTCTTTGCTGTTTGGCTGCTTGGCTGCTGTCTTCAAGGAGTTTGTGCAGTGCGTTTGATCAGCATGGGCAAAAATGGATTTCAGAAATTTCTGAAATAGAAGCCCAAGGCTAAGTGGTAGAGTGCTTGCCTAGCCTATATAAACCTCAGTTGAATCCCTAGCAATGTTACACATACACACACACACACACACACACACACACACACACACACACACACACACACCATGAGTACAAATGAACTCTTGGTTACAGGCTGCATCGGTCACGTCACATAGCACACCTGGTGGTCCTAAATAAGCCTTTAGCATAGACTCAGCCTGAGCAGAAAAGTGGTCCCTGCTTTCGAATCCTGAGTTTGTTACAGTCAGGTGAGTCATCAGGCAAAGGCAATGTGTAGAGGAAGGCAGAAGAGACTATACACAGTTCCGTCCGTAGTGCAACGGGGGTCTCCTCATAGCAGAAGGCATCTTAGAAGTTGGCTATGTTAGTTGCCACTTAGAAATTAACATTTGCCAACATAAAAAAAAGGAAGGAAGGAAGAGGAAAGAAGGAAGAAAGAAAGTAAGTAAAGAAGGAAGAAAGAAAGGGAGTTTTATCAAGATAGACCAGTTTGGCAAAGTTGGTATGATTTTGACTTCTTTGAAAGAGATTTCTGCAAGACGGTTACAAAGCATAGACTCCTGTGAAGGGATTTGTGGGAGCCAAAATGTTTGTTAGTAGTTGAATCTGAAGGTGCTGTGAGGATCTGGAGTGCTAGAAGGGAAATGGAAGCAATGCCAGATGGGTAGAAAGCTGAGGTGTCAACTTTTAAGGGACACCCCAGGGAACCATGGAGCTTCTGAGGTAAGTATTACAGAGCTTTGAGCATGGCTGTCCGTCCAGTTTAGACGACAGCCTTTGGGGTCAGCAAAGATTTATTACAGTTACAGTAGGCTGACTGGTCAGTGCAGAGCACAGACTGCAGGGTGTGAGCAGGAGAGCAGCCAGTGCAGAGCGCGAAGGGGCCGCTTTAGTAGGACCCGGGAGACTGTGTAGTGAATCTAAACACATTGGCACACGGTGGAGGGTGGGGTTTCAGGTTGGTGTCTGGTGAGGTCACTCTCTCCTGAGGCTGTGCTCCTTGTGCTCCTGGAGAGGAAGAAGGCAGAAGGCCTCCCAGGACCCTTCTGTTAGCAACTAAATTCAGCTTGAAGGTGGAGGGGCAAGACTCCAAATGAGCAGCAAGGAAGGGAGAAACTTAGAGAGAAGGCACTAGAAGAGAAGGAGGATCCGTGGATGGTGTTTATATTAGAGAGTGGGTGAGCGGGGATCCTGATGCAGGAGGACACAGTGTTCATTATAGACTCACAGAAGACTGCCTCCTTCCAAAGCTAGGAGAGAGGGACAGTGCATTCTCATCCAGCCTTGAGTGCGAGGAGAGCTCAGGACTGAGGTCTGCTGTTTGGGCTGCAGTTGAGCATCTGCTCATTCTCACAGTGCAGCTGTCTGAGTATATTTTATTAGTATACTAGACTTTCTTGTTACTTTATTCAGAAAAAAGATGCCCACTAATTGAAAAATACTCAGGTTTGCTAAAAAAGACTTGCTTCCCTATGCAGATGGAGTTTGGAGTTGTGTATAGCTGTGTGGAAGACAAGATGTATACTGGCAGGAAAGGAAAAGGAGCCTTTTGTAACGGTCAGAGGCTTCAGGTCTCCCAACAGGAAGGTGGGTGTGTCCTCCGGTGCGTGAGGCCCTTAGCGGAGTGTGCTTGCACTTTACATACTTGTATATTAACCTCTGGACTTAGCGAGTATTAGCTGACTTTCCCTCCCTCCCTCCTTCCCTCCCTCCCTCCTTGGTTTGGTTTGAATCAAGGTCTCACTGTAGCTCTTGCCTGGCACTGGCTGTATAGGTGAGCTTGGCCTTGAACTGAGAGATCCGTCCGCCTCCTGAGTGCTTGGATTAAAGATGTGCACCACTATGCCCAGCCATAACCTTTCTCTTAAGTTGAGGGCATATTTTTAGTTCATTTCCTTTTGTTGTTGTTTTTAAATGATTTATTTTTAATTACAGGGTTGTGGCAAGCAACATACCTACTTTTTAAGTATTTTATGTAATATCTGAGGCCTGGGAAAAAGTTTGATAAAACTAGAAAAAAAGGATTTAAACATCCCATTTTATTCCAAATTGTGTTAGATTTGTTCTAGAGTTTTGGTTATTAACATCTGGTGGCTTATTTGAAATAACTTCCCCTTTTCAGACATTACCAAATCACTCTTGGTGACTGAGTTGGGCTCATCCAGGAAGCCAGAGACTTTACGCACTGTCCTCTCCAACATGGAAAAGCTTTGCTCCATTCCCATCCATGGGTAAGCCTTCTCATTCCCACCAAACTGCCAGATAAGTTCACTTTTTGAAGGCACTCATTTTTATTTTTCTGTGTGTGTGTGTGTGTGTGTGTGTGTGTGTGTGTGTGTGTGTGTGTTCTTTGTTTTATGTTTGAGATAGGATTTCACTCTGTAACACAGGCTGGTCTGGAATGTGTGATCCTCCTGCCTCAGCCTCTTGAGTACTAGCTAGGGTTAGCTATATGTTTTACACTCGTGATAACACTGCTTTCCAACTTCATAGGAATTTAATAATGATAGCTTATATAAGTGAATAAAACAAAAATTAATATTTCTGGGGATGATGGCACATGTTGACATTATTGCCTACTTTGGAGGATGAGGCAGGAGGAGTGATTGATTCCTGAAGTTAGGGTTTAGTCTAGAAAACATAGTGAGACCCTAACTCAAAAATGTTTGTTTGCTTTTGAAACAAGTACTTACCCTAGAGGTTTTAGGAAAAGGTAATGATTTGATGTCCATAAATTTAACACAGGTGTTGGTTATATAAGTAGCAATTTAATGACCTTTATTATAGTTGTCTCAGTAAAAATAATCATTAAAAAAGCCACTGAAGCCAGGCATGGCAGAGCATATCTGTAACGTTGGCCTCTAGGAAGCTGAGACAAGAGGACTTGACGCTGTAACGATAAACGGCACACTTACTAAAAGTAAAACTAAGTATTTATTGTAGAAATTACTCACAAGAGACCAAACAAGTAACCCAGATGAGCCCAGTAGTTTTCCGCCGTCGAACTGGAAGCCAAAAGCCGGAAAAAGAGACCGAGACTTCCGTTGTTCAGTCTTTGATACCTTCCTCCTTAATGCCCCTAGCCATGCCCAATCCGTATATGTCTTTAGTCATACCTAAAGTAGGTGTGGTTAGCGGTGTGGTAAACTGCTCTTTTATTACCTCATTTGTATGCGCCTCTAATAAGTTACATGGCTGATGGCGGCACACGGTTTCCTCCTACAAGGACTGTAGAGCATGGTTCAAGGACAACCTGAGCTGCACAAGAAGAGACTGTCAAATGAACCAGAAGCCATTGAGAAGCCAGGCTCCATAACATGTGTCTGTCATCCCAGCCACTAGCAAGCTGAGGCAAGAAGTCTGGGTTACATAGTGAGAGTTCATTTCGAAAAAATAAAAACAGGCTTTTGAATAGCAGGAGAATTTTATGATTTTTGTCTTCCAGTTGTTTTACTACTCTTTTTGTCCTGAAAGTTTGGTCAGGGAAAGACTCTGAGAACTCCTCAGAGGTCATCTGGTAAGCCAGCCTTGTTTTGTAGCTGAGTTCAGGGGTTCAGTTGCATGAAGTGACCCCAGGAGATCACATAACTAGATGGAGATAGGACCACAGCCCTGGCTGCCAAATCCTTCTCTTCTTCAATATTTAACTTCTCTTTTAGGAGTTAAGATGTACCAGGTACATCTTAGCCATGCTACAAACTATGATTTGGGACTGCGTAGTCATGAGTAAGGTAAATGAGAGGTTTTTGTCACCTAGCTATCAACCTCCCAGAACACAGAACTCTTGAGGCCCAAGGCAGTGTCCTTGAGGGAAGAACAGTGCCTTTTTTTTCCCGGTTTTATGAGACAGGGTTTCTCTGTATTGTTTTGGAGGCTGTCGATCCAGCCCGGCCTCGAACTCACAGAGATCCGCCTGCCTCTGCCTCCCGAGCGCTGGGATTAAAGGCATGCGCCACTACCGCCCGGCTAGAAGAGTGCCTTTTAGAGCTGCTGCTACAGTTGCCTGGTAAAGTGGCACTAAAATGGCTGTAAAACAGCTTCAAGTGGTTTACGCTGTAGTTTTCTTATTTGCTATTGGCTGAAATAAAAATAAGTTTTAGGTTTTATTTTTTGGTTTGTTTGTTTTGTATTTAAACCAGGAAAATGTTAGCAAGGATAAGAACTGTTATCTTACTCCTTTCTGTGCTGTTATCTCCAGACAGTTCTTTAGCTTTCAGTCACTTCAGAATTGCTCGCACAATACACAGAGATCAAAAAGTCATGATTTGTCTGACTGACCGAAACGGGGAAACCATCCCAGCCAGTTCCTGAGGAGGTGATAACAGCCATGAGACAAAGTAAATTGTGATGAATCAGTTGCTTGCCTTGGGGGAATTAATGCAGATGTGTACAACATTTTGAGATTTTGATATAGCATTGTTATCTTCAGGGTTCATATCTGAGAACTGTGCAATCAAGTTACAAAAAATAATCATATACAGCCTCATACTGTTTCATGTTAAGTCTACAATTTTGTGCAAATTCAAATTGGGCAGGGCCACCATAGAGCAGTTTTATAATAAGCATGGTACTGGGTTTTTTTTGTTTGTTTGTTTTTTGTTTTTCAAGACAGGGTTTCTCTGTAGGTTTGGAGACTGCCCTGGAACTCTCTTTGAGGACCAGGCTGGCCTCGAATTCACAGAGATCCACCTGCCTCTGTCTCCTGAGTGCTGGGATTAAAGGTGTACGCCACCACCGTGTGGCAAGTGTGGTACTTTTTACTAGTATATAATTGCATTTGTAGTCTAAGATAAGTTGCCCCTACTTTATTGACAAAAAATGCGAAACTCTGGAGCAATTGTGAAGCAGCTGAGCATGAGAGACCCAGCTCTTTGGACGCCGCTCTCTTCCCTCTTGTGCATGCTCAGTCTCTAGACGGATCGGATGAAGAGCCAGTTCATCCTGCTGCCACCGCTAGCAGAGTGATGTATTAGGTGATCCTTATGGCTTGTTCCTAGAAGAACAAGCTCCTGCTGATTGCCAAACCCCTGCCTGAGAGCTCTTGGTGCCCATCAGAGGCCAGCAGGAGTTTCCCTGGTCAGGGGAGTGTCACCCTCAGCTTAGGTGCCTCTGAGTGGGGGGGGGGGCGGGGCACAAGTCCTTCCCAGAACTTGAGCTCTGAACTGCCCCATGCCCCCGTCTCATGTAAGAGGTAGGGAGGTAGCCCAGCCTGTTTTGCTTTCAGTTTGTTTCCTTTCAGGCAGAGTCTTACTGTGTAGCCCAGGACAGTATCAGGCTTATAGTAGCCCAGGATAGTATCAGGCTTATAGTAGCCCAGGATAACATCAGACATATAGTAGCCCAGGACAGTATCAGGCTTATAGTAGCCCAGGATAGTATCAGGCTTATAGTAGCCCAGGATAACATCAGACATATAGTAGCCCAGGATAGCATCAGGCTTACAGTATTCCAGGATAGCATCATACTCTCAGTAGCCCAGGATAGTATGAGGCTTATATAGTAGCCCAGGACAGCCTCAGACTCTCAGTAGTTCAGGATTGTACCAGACTTACAGTGCCTCTTCCAGAACCTCCTGAGTTCTGGGATCCTAAGCATCAGCATTGTGTTCACCTCACCTTTCTTTATAAGCTAAAACTTGTCACTTGGAGTTGGATTGACTCTTTGTGCTACTTCTTCACTAAATTTGATATGAAACAAAAATGTAAATTGTAAAACACACTCGAGGGGTGTGCAGTAAAGAAACTGTCAACACAACTGCTCCATTGTATGGTTAAGGTTTTGGTTGTGGATGAGAGAGAGAAGAGCCAAGAGCATCTGGAAGAGTCCAGAACACAGGGAAAAAGTAGACTGAAATGTGGCTGGGGCTGAGAAGCAGGAGCAGACAGGAGACAGCAAGAGAGCAGCGGAGAGAGTGCAGTGAGAATAGCTATCAGGAGCAGACAGAGGAGACAGCAGAGAGCAGGAGAGAGTGCAGTGAGAATGGCTATCAGGAGCAGACAGGAGACAGCAGAGAGCAGGGGAGAGTGCAGTGAGAATAGCTATATGGAGCAGACAGGAGACAGCAGAGAGCAGGAGAGAGTGCAGTGAGAATAGCTATATGGAGAGTGGCCGGAGGGGGCGGGGGAGGCCAGGAGGCTGGTGTGAGGGCTGTGACATGAGAAACAAGGACTGGAGTGGGAACTGAGGTGGCCTGGAGCTGGCGTGGACTGTGATACACAGCCGCAACTGTATGTCAGTGGAGCCACTGTCCCTTCTGCCACTGCGAGGGAATGATTCCTTATGGCAGATGGGAACCAGCTTTACAAGTTCATGAGGAATGCTAGCCTTCATCTAACAGCCAGAAAGCCTGTGGTCAGATAGAACTGGGCCTAGACTCAACTTTGTGGGTTTGTTCTTTTTGAGAGGAAGTGGAGTCATTCCTATCCTTTTTAAAAATCAGGCCTGTGAAACATACTAGTGCAGTCTTTATTTTTGTTTTTTAGATTCAGAAAAAAAAAGCCACACAATTCATCACAGTTCTGGTACTTCTGACAAAAACTTTGAGAGGATGAATCTCTTTGCCTTATGCCCAGAGATTTAAATATTAGTTACAAAAGGAGTTTGAAGCAAATATGGTGGTAACCACCCGTAACCTCAGCATTCAGGTGGCTGAAGTAGGAAGGTTCCACACCAGTCTGGAGCATTTAGTGATGCCCTGTCTCAAAAACAACGGCAACCCCCCCCCAAAAAAAACCAAAATAAATAAATAAAGTAAAAGGGAAATTTGGGTAAACGTTTGAAAGTAACTTTCCTGGCTCCTTTTTGTTGTGGTTGTTGCTGTGTGTTTTTTTTTGAGACAAGGTCCCATTGTCCCTAGGCTGGCCTCAAGCTCATGACAGTCCTGGCTAGCCTCAGCCTCCTACCTGCACTGCAGAGCAGTGGTTCTCAACCTTCCCAGTGCTGCCACCCTTCCATACGGTTGCTCGTGCTGTGGTTTTGATTCTCATTGCTCACCCATTTCCTTTAAAGTAGTTCCATAGTCTTTCATTTTGTTTTAAACTTGACATTTTTGAGCTTTTTTTTTTTTTATAGAAAACAAGGAAGTTTTTGAAAAGTAAGGACTGAATGTTCATGCCGAATCCAGGAAGCCTCTTGTGGCTTCAAGCACAAGCATGAGGCTTTTCTGGTTGGCAGGGAACAGTAGCATGGTGTTTTACACGACCTGGAAACTGTTTACATTATGCTGACTATGTAGCCGCTCAAGTGATGTGATTACAGGCGTATGCTATCACATCTGACTCTCTCTGGTATTTTTTGTTTTGTTTTCCCTTTAAGTCTTTGTTACCACATTTGCCTTATTAAATGGTTACTTTATGATAAATTCATGATTTACATAGTACATAGTGATTGGATGTTTTAAAAGATTTATTTTTGTTTATGTGTATGAATGTTTGCTTGCGTATATGTGTGTGTGCACCTCATATGTGCAGTGATGGCAGAAGCTAGAAGAAGGCATTAGATCCCTCTGGAACTGGAGTTCCAGGTGGTTGTGAGCCACCATGTGAATGCTGGGAACTAAACTCAGGTGCTTGCAAGAGTAGAAAGTGTTGTTATCCACTAAGCCATTCCCCCAGCTCTGATCTTTAATTTTATATAGTTTATTTTAAGTAGATAGAGAACAGTTTTTAAGTTTTATCCACAATTATTCTCTAGATTTAGGCAAGCAGTCTCAGCTGGCATTGAAATTGACCACCTTAAAGAGGAATACCTTTGTTGAGAGGGTTTTTTTTTCTTCCAATTTTATTTTCATGTTAGCATCCGGAGTGTTGGAACAGCTGCTGTTAATATGTGCCTTGTGGCAACTGGAGGAGCAGATGCATATTATGAAATGGGAATTCACTGCTGGGACATGGCAGGAGCCGGCATCATTGTCACCGAAGCTGGTGGAGTGCTGATGGATGTGACAGGTGAAGTCATGGCACCCCAAGCATGTTTCCTGCACGTCTGTTAGGCTTTCCTCTCTGTGTACATGTTCCATACAGGAACAGGCTGTGATTTTCTATAAAATCAAGCAGTAGGAGATAGAGACAGAGACGATGGCTTGTGGTAATACATTAATGAGAAATGGTTGAGACTCTTCAAGTGCTAATTGTCAGGCTCTCCTCTGAGGCTCGTACCATGGACTTACCATGGACACGCGGATGTAAAGACGTGTAAGAGTGCCCGCAAGAAGCAGAAAGAGAGGATGGCGTTTCCACTTGAAATCCCTCATATTGGTACTCAGAAAAGATGCCTAGAAACTTACCTCCTCTCAAGGCTGGAACGCTGTCACTGGGTGATGGACTTAAAAAAAAACAACTGAGAAATTAAAGTATTAGCATAAGATCTAGCTGCGTACATGCTTTTCTCCTTATTGTTGTACACTGTATAACTTTTCCATATTGACGTTGATTTCAGGTGGACCATTTGATTTGATGTCGCGGAGAATAATTGCTGCAAACAATAAAGCATTAGCTGAAAGAATAGCCAAAGAAATTGAGGTAATACCTTTACAAAGAGACGACGAAAGTTAGCTGGCACTCCGTCACACGTGCTGGCCCTGCTGTTTGAAATGTATGACATGTCTGAGGTCACTGATTTCAATTTGTCTTTGAGGTCCTGATTTGAAAATGGGAACATGTTTTAAAGATGGCTTATGCAAAATTAGATGGAATATTTGACTGTTGAAAGAAAATTTGCATGTAAGACTGTCTTGGAGAAAATACACAGGAAGCATAATTAATGAGCTAGCCATTGAATAACCACCAGTCCCCATGACCCCCTTAGATTTTAATATACTATTTATATGCACAATTCTCAATTAGAAAGTTTTCTTTTTTGTAAAAGTGTTTTTCTTTGTTCTAAAAGCCATACTTAATTAAGTTTGTAAGACTATAACAAGCAGAGAGCCCTCTTGTTTTAGTGATCAGTATAATTCTACACCTGGCACAGTACCTGACAAACAGTAGGTGGTCTAAAACGACCACCTTACAGTGAGTCCCAGAAGCTGCAGTTCCTGCTCCTCATGGGTACATAATGAGATGACCGTTATGTATCTTGCTTCCTGTTTGGAAGTAAAAGTTACCTCACTGTCCTTTTTGTGTTTCATATCGCCATGCCATTTCATAGGATCATCTTGCCAGAGTGCAGCTAGTATACTACTGTATGCTGTAGGTTCTGCCTAAAGTCTGTGTGCTGGAGAGGAGATTTCACAGAAATCTTTTGTGTCTGGTGTAGTTAGTTACAGTGTAATGTTGTACTAAGTGTAGTATTCACATTCATTACTTAAACTGGTTTTGGCTCTGCTGACAGATGTATTGTGGCACATGTATTAATGGTGAACTTTTTGATTTCTTTCCAAACTCCTTGCTTAATTTTATCACTACTGTCTATGTATTCTATAAGGTTCTTGGGCCTCTCAAACTCAAGAAGAAAAATGAATGGTTCCTATTCCTTTTTAAAGGATTAATTTATTGCCTAGCCTTGGCCCTTGGATATGAACAAATATTTTGTTCTTAGTATGTTTGGACCTTGCATTTGATAAAATGAAATGTTCTTGTAAGTTTCAAGGCAGTAAACATTTTATTGTTGGATGATTTAATAGATTAAATCTCTATGATACTCTGATTTGGGCACTGTAATTAATGGATTTCTGCTGTTAACTACATGATTTAAAGCATCACATAACATGTAAATTCTATTATAAGACAGGTTGTTTTTATAATTAAATTTATTTTAATTAAGACTATTATGAATAACTATTTATTATATTTATTTATGTATCCTAGGCAGGCCTCAGAATTGCCATGTATCTGAGGATAAATTTGAACTCCTGATGATCCTTACTCATTGTAAGTTTGTAGTATCCCATCTTTGTGGGGCTTCAGTCAGATTCAGCCGAATAGCCTGGTTTGTACCTGAAAAGGGGAGTGTGGATTGAGAAATGGCAGGTAATGATGCTAAGGAAAAGTCAGACACAGAATAGAGTCAGGAGGGCAATCCAGTGAATACTGAATACATCAAGTTTATTCTTCAGCATTCTTAAACACCCCAACCACAAAGGGGGAAATGGCAAAAGACTTCTTTACCAAGATACAAGGATGAGACCTTCTTCCTTAATTCTCCAAACATTTGGTAGCTATGCCATACACTAAATCTCTCCTTATCTGGCCTTGAGGGTTAAGAGTAACCACACCTCAGACCAAATCTCTTGTTATTTAGATAAGATATCCACATCTAAAACCAAACATCCTACAGTAGCCATGCCTTAGACCTTTAGGTCTCATGACTTTAACCTTTGGAAGGGTAAGGATAGTTTTGAACTCTCCGACCTTAAGCGAAGATGAAGCCATTTTTATGGCCTTGACATATGTTCTGAGATGCAGAGAAGATGGCAATGTGCCATCGCAGCTGGTTCTTGTGTTGATAGGGACTGAACCCAGGGCGTCATGCTTGCTAGTTAAGCACCCCATCCCATGAATAACGTTTAAAAGTATAATTAATGATGTGTCATCAGTCTATAGTCCCAGAATGTTTTTGGGGTTTTGAGTTGAGTTGCAAATATTTGAAACTATATGATTGGTTATATATTTTCACCTTTTGCATATTGTTTCTCAATGTAGGTAAACACTTGGTATTTTCTCCTTAGGGCTAGCGATCTTTTTATTCTTCATGCAATTGAGTGTTATCTGGCTAAATGTTACTTGGATATTGAAAAAGGATGATAGAAAGTACCCACAAAATAATTGGGAAATGTTGTTTTATGTAACAGAGCCTCTTATGTTTAACATGTTACTGTATTCCAGTATTTACCTTCTCTAGTTCTTATTTTCATGGTTTCTTTCCCTGATCTCTTAACTTCTGAGAACCTTCAACTCTCTGATAGGCAATCCTTTTGTTTTGGAAGTATATTAAAGTTGGTGGGCTGCAGCTTGAGACTGTATGTAAGGAGATCTGTAACCTTAAGTGCAAGGCAAAGAAACATTGGTGGGTAGGACTAACTCTAATTCATCGTTCATGTCATTAGAAAATACAGAAGAATCTGCAGAAGCATCATTAAAGTTAATGATGTCACTGGAGATGAGGTTGATGCCACTGCTTGTGTAAGTAGGAGTATTCGCAACAGCACTTCGTGAATACGTCAGCATAAGGAGTGATTGGATACTCAAAGAGTGTTCTAATGGAAGCTGTGCAAGAGCTCTGCACACAACTCTAAAGGGTTACCCTGAGAAAAAATGTTAACGATTCTATAAAAAAATTATATGGGGGGTGGTGGTGTTGTGCACACAAGCTCCAGCGTGCCTGTGGCTGCCAGGGCAATTGCAGGAGCTCTTTCTTTTTTCCTTATGTTCTGGGACCAAACTTAGGATGTCAGGCTTGGACAAGCCCCTTTCTCTACTAAGCCATACTGCCAGCCTGAAGCTCTGATAAACATAATGTGTGCTTGTGCCTCAGGGCCCTCAATATTGCTTAGATGGGAGTTCTCCCAGGTGCACATGTAGTTTATAATTTCAGTGTCCTCCCAATCAGATTCTAATGGTATTTGGAGATTTGCTTGCTTGTATGAAGGTTTCAGAAGTCCTGGAATTGGAAGTTACAGTGTGAGCTGTCATGTGGGTGCTGGGAATTGAACCTGGGTCCTCTGGAAAAGCAGACAGACCATTGAGCCACCTCTCCCTGTATTCAGGCTTCTTTTGAGGAAGGCTTTGCCATGTGGTCCAGGCTGGCCTAGAACTCACAGTCTTCCTAAATCTGCCTCCCTAATACTTCCATTACAGGAATGTACTACCACACTGGCTGGGACCACCCTTTACTGCACATGCCTTTGGAGTTTCCATACTCTTCACAAGAGGTGAGGCAAGAAAGTTAACAGTTAACACAGAAATGCAGAGGACCCTAAATGGCCAAAACCAGCTGGAAGAAGAAGGCAAAGTTAGAGTCTGACTGTTCACCAGCTATGAGGAGAGTGCCATAATTAATGCAGTGCTGTTAGCCCAAGGCCAGAGTCCCAGTTAGACTGCAGAAAGATAGCACTGCAATTGGATAAGGAAAGGGTTAGTCTTCCTGTGAGTAGCATGCAATTGGATGTTCATGGAAATAGGAGAAAAACTGACTCCATCCCAGCAAGTACAAGGATCAGTTTCTAGAACTAAAATCATACAAAAAGTAAACCGAGGCTGAGATGCATCAGTGTGGGCAAATGTGCTTCCCACTAAAGCTGACAACCTGAGTTTGACCCCTGGGATTCCTGTGGTGAAAGGGGAGACCTGACTCCTGGAAGCTGTCCTGAGTTCTAAGCTTGTACCATGCTTGTGCAAACCCCACTCCCATATTAAGTTTTTGAAACAACAGTTTCTGAACAGTAGCATATTTTCTCACATTTTGGGCCAAAACTTGGTCAATAGTGCACATACGATACACTCAACCTAAAGAAAGATGGAAAGATGAATACACTGAACTCCATTGATAACTTCAGCACTGAAACACTGTTGGGGCTTCAGAAGCCAAAGCTTCCATAGTCCAGTAATCCTGGCACTCAGGAGGTGCAGCAGGAGGACCAGCAGTCTCAAACAAGAAAAGAACTATACTTCAGGAAGTTTGCTCTATACGTTAGACATTGTATGTATAAAAACATCCACATATAGAGGACAATGCATTTGCATATGTAAGCAAATATGTACTTCACAAAACAAGCAAACATGAAAGTACTCTGTATTGTTACTCACCCAGGAAATGAAAAGAGTAACACCCCCACACCAGAATGGCTAAAACAAAAAACTGAAGCCCAGCATCACCAAATACCAAATCTCTTCTTAGGTAGACAGCGTGGATTGGTAAGCATGTGAATCACCTCAACTGCCATGCACCACTGCAAGTGTATTTCATGATATCCAATCAGGAGAGTGCCATTTGTCTCAGGATCCAGTCTCCTCTCCTTCGTATACACTTCACAGATGCATACCTCCAATATCCACCCTGTATGGCCAAAGTTGCCCTACATGTAAAACCGAGACTACCAACAGCAGGTTGGCTTTAAAGGGTGTGAAAGAGTCCCATAGTGAATACTACACACCACTGAAAAAAGGGAGATGATAGTTACCAGGAAAACGTGATGACTTCCAGCCTGTCTCAGTCACTGCTTCTCAAAGACATGCCCCTTCTGAAATCACCCCTGATGGCTTAAAGAAGCCAAATCATGGTGTACCCAAATGGTGCCTCTAAGTTGATCTGCATTTCTACCCCTTGTTCTGATGTTAGAATCACCTTGAGGGTTTACTCTGTCCACTTCCTTTCCTTTTCCCATTCTTACTCTGGTATGACCTTGTCCCTAGATTACACCCCTGGTCCTCTTGTTTCCAACCAAGGAAGGCACACACATGCCCATGGATTTGACCCTCTCATACTTACTGTGGACTGTCACGTCTGCTGCGCGGCCTGTGGCCGAGAACGTGCGGAGGGTGTCGGGGATTGACAACACAGAGACTTGTTCAATGATGTAAAGAAAACTTTAAACAGGCTCCAAAAAAGGTTCAAGAAAACCTCCTCAGAAAAGCTCCCACCAGAGAAGCTTCTGCTCTCTCCTCTCCCCTGGCTGGTTCTGCTCTGCCACCAGAGGTGGATGTGTGTGGGTTTTTGAAGGTGCGGTTAGTCTTTGGACAAGGTCGAGGTCAGGGCGGTTTCCGTGGGAAGGCCTTTTCCAGGAACTTATTGTATCGTTTTTAGTAAACATGTTTTTACTAAACATTGTCTACAGCTGCCTACTCCCAGGCAGAAGGGGAAGTGGGTCTCTGCTCAAGGTCTGGTGTTCCCACAGTAGACTCGCAAGTCTTGACCTTCAGCCATGTTTACCTCCTGAAAGTTCACCTGAATGTACTTCCGGCTCCCTACTGAGTTCGCCCTCCAAGAAGTACTCTGTTTTGTGTGTCAAACTGCTGGATTTTTCTCAGCGTGTCATGCAGTACTCTATTTTCTCTCCCCTTTCGAATAGGAACCCATTTATTTGATCTTCACTTATCCCAAGTCTCCTACATTCTGATTTGTCATAGCCAGGTACTTTGTAGTGTGAATCCGTGGAAATTCTCAGTGAACGCTGCAACACACTGAAAACTAGCTCTTACCAGACTCCTTTCCAGCTGTCACTCCAGCTGTCCACATCGAATGATGGGGAATAGATCTTTCATTTTATGGTTATAGAGACACCTACATGTCACAGTGGTTTGTGTTCTCTGGGCACTACCCCCAGCACATAGGCTGTGCCCATATTTTACACTTGTAGGTGGTGTGTCTTTGCCTGCAAGAAGTCATGAGGACACCAGACCCACCCAGGTAGGGTAAATATAATTTGCAGGGGAATTGGAATGTTAGGAATGATAGATGCAACTAAGTCACAAAGTGTTTAATGTCAGCACTGAGTAAGTAACATAGTTAGGTGTGATTCTAGCACACAGGACACCCAGGCAGGGGGATTTCAAGTTCTAGGTTAGTAGGGGCAACATAGGAAGACTTAGCTGATACTACCCACAAAATGGAAGAAACTGCTTCTCCAGAGTGATGCCCTCATCTTGAGTGGGGTCTGAGCATTCAATCTCACAGAAATGTGCCTACTTTTAGTGTTCCAAACATCCTGTGTCCTCTTAAGTACTTTATCCATTCAAATCTTTCCAGTTGCTGTCTTTTTAACTCATGCACAATCACTTGTCCTCTGGTTTGTTGAGGCAGTAACTCAGTGTGTTGGGTACAGTGATGTCT